GTGTAACCCCGTTACATCAGTCTACATTCTTGCTTGCATCTCGTAGCCGGGGCTAGATAACAACGCAAGCGCCTACAATGCGATATACCTGCCTTCGATATTGCTTGCTGACCGTATACATCTACTTTAGCTCATGGCACGTTCGACGAACATTTGCACCAATTTGCATCGCAGTCCGCGAGTCGTTTCGTCGCCTCTGCGTAGCCCAGACGACAGCGAAATTTGAGTATATTCGACAAAAACTCACACTTCAAGTGACATGGTAGTGACTCTAACAAATGTTCATGAGATTTGGAGCCAACGGCTCTTGGTGGTCAAGTGACGAGAGACCAGATGTTCGTCAATAGAAGGGCATGACGTTGCAGTCGCTTTGATAGCACGCAACGAACTGCAAATCAGAGCACATGTAACGGGGCACCCTGAAGCTTGTACTGGTGATAGTACAAGCTACTTATTCTGATGACAGAATAAGGCGGTGCCTCGTAACTTCACGTACACTGGTACGTGCAGAGGAAGACGGTAAGAAGAAGCGAGTACTTGATTAAAGTAAAAAGTGGAACTGTATTTAGTATAGTTAATGTCTGTTTATAAACCACTATTTATCCTCATCTAACTATGTCTAAATACAAATGTGTACATCAACTATCTGCTCACCACTCATTGCGTGCGTCTGTCGTGGCGCGCCTTCGTTGGTTGATATAATGGCCTATATCAACCAATTAGGAACTACTCGTAAGTGCTGCAGAATATTTGTCCTTATGACAATATTCTGAGAACATAACTCTTATGGTTACATTCTATTAACAATTTCTTATAAATTGTTATGCAACGGTTCACCCCGTTAAAACGGGAGCGTAGTTTGCCTAGGCTTATCGACACAAAAACAGCGCAAAATGTCACTAATGATACATTTAACACGCTAAATTTGACCATCGGTCTGCGGGTGATCCAATGTGGACACGTCCGTCCTGGTATTCAGCACATTAAAGATAAAAGTCCAAAACTTGCCAGTGAAACGTGGATCACGATTTGAGACACTTATCGAAGGCAAACCTTTTTGACGAAATACACGGTCGATAAACAGCTTTGCTGTACCTTCACCATCGATGGAATCAGACACAGCCGCTAAATGAGCCATCTTGCTCAAAAGGTCAACGTAGACCACAAAGCCTGTGTTGCCGTCCGAATCCTTCGGTATGCCAAACACAAAGTCGATACTGATGTACTCCTAACACCACATGATTTACGTTGACAATGGATACGTCCATGTTTCGCATCTAAGACGTGTAACACACAACATATCCAGTTCAATAACCGCGTGTAACCCCGTTACATCAGTCTACATTCTTGCTTGCATCTCGTAGTCGGGGCTAGATAACAACGCAAGCGCCTACAATGCGATATACCTGCCTTCGATATTGCTTGCTGACCGTATACATCTACTTTAGCTCATGGCACGTTCGACGAACATTTGCACCAATTTGCATCGCAGTCCGCGAGTCGTTTCGTCGCCTCTGCGTAGCCCAGACGACAGCGAAATTTGAGTATATTTGACAAAAACTCACACTTCAAGTGACATGGTAGTGACTCTAACAAATATTCATGAGATTTGGAGCCAACGGCTCTTGGTGGTCAAGTGACGAGAGACCAGATGTTCGTCAATAGAAGGGCATGACGTTGCAGTCGCTTTGATAGCACGCAACGAACTGCAAATCAGAGCACATGTAACGGGGCACCCTGAAGCTTGTACTGGTGACAGTACAAGCTACTTATTCTGATGACAGAATAAGGCGGTGCCTCGTAACTTCACGTACACTGGTACGTGCAGAGGAAGACGGTAAGAAGAAGCGAGTACTTGGTTAAAGTAAAAGTAGAACTGAATTTATCATAGTTAATGTCTGTTTATAAACCACTGTTCATCCTCATCTAACTATGTCTAAATACTAATGTGTAAATCAAATATCTGCTCACCACTCATTGCGTGCGTCTGTCGTGGCGCGTCTTCGTTGGTTGATATAATGGCCTATATCAACCAATTAGGAACTACTCGTAAGTGCTGCAGAATATTTGTCCTTATAACAATATTCTGAGAACATAACTCTTATGGTTACATTCTATTAACAATTTCTTATAAATTGTTATGCAACGGTTCACCCCGTTAAAACGGGAGCGTAGTTTGCCTAGGCTTATCGACACAAAAACAGCGCAAAATGTCACTAATGATACATTTAACACGCTAAATTTGACCATCGGTCTGCGGGTGATCCAATGTGGACACGTCCGTCCTGGTATTCAGCACATTAAAGATAAAAGTCCAAAACTTGCCAGTGAAACGTGGATCACGATTTGAGACACTTATCGAAGGCAAACCTTTTTGACGAAATACACGGTCGATAAACAGCTTTGCTGTACCTTCACCATCGATGGAATCAGACACAGCCGCTAAATGAGCCATCTTGCTCAAAAGGTCAACGTAGACCACAATGCCTGTGTTGCCGTCCGAATCCTTCGGTATGCCAAACACAAAGTCGATACTGATGTACTCCTAACACCACATGATTTACGTTGACAATGGATACGTCCATGTTTCGCATCTAAGACGTGTAACACACAACATATCCAGTTCAATAACCGCGTGTAACCCCGTTACATCAGTCTACATTCTTGCTTGCATCTCGTAGTCGGGGCTAGATAACAACGCAAGCGCCTACAATGCGATATACCTGCCTTCGATATTGCTTGCTGACCGTATACATCTACTTTAGCTCATGGCACGTTCGACGAACATTTGCACCAATTTGCATCGCAGTCCGCGAGTCGTTTCGTCGCCTCTGCGTAGCCCAGACGACAGCGAAATTTGAGTATATTTGACAAAAACTCACACTTCAAGTGACATGGTAGTGACTCTAACAAATGTTCATGAGATTTGGAGCAAACGGCTCTCGGTGGTCAAGTGACGAGAGACCAGATGTTCGTCAATAGAAGGGCATGAAGTTGCAGTCGCTTTGATAGCACGCAACGAACTGCAAATCAGAGCACATGTAACGGGGCACCCTGAAGCTTGTACTGGTGATAGTACAAGCTACTTATTCTGATGACAGAATAAGGCGGTGCCTCGTAACTTCACGTACACTGGTACGTGCAGAGGAAGACGGTAAGAAGAAGCGAGTACTTGATTAAAGTAAAAAGTAGAACTGAATTTATCATAGTTAATGTCTGTTTATAAACCACTGTTCATCCTCATCTAACTATGTCTAAATACAAATGTGTACATCAACTATCTGCTCACCACTCATTGCGTGCGTCTGTCGTGGCGCGCCTTCGTTGGTTGATATAATGGCCTATATCAACCAATTAGGAACTACTCGTAAGTGCTGCAGAATATTTGTCCTTATGACAATATTCTGAGAACATAACTCTTATGGTTACATTCTATTAACAATTTCTTATAAATTGTTATGCAACGGTTCACCCCGTTAAAACGGGAGCGTAGTTTGCCTAGGCTTATCGACACAAAAACAGCGCAAAATGTCACTAATGATACATTTAACACGCTAAATTTGACCATCGGTCTGCGGGTGATCCAATGTGGACACGTCCGTCCTGGTATTCAGCACATTAAAGATAAAAGTCCAAAACTTGCCAGTGAAACGTGGATCACGATTTGAGACACTTATCGAAGGCAAACCTTTTTGACGAAATACACGGTCGATAAACAGCTTTGCTGTACCTTCACCATCGATGGAATCAGACACAGCCGCTAAATGAGCCATCTTGCTCAAAAGGTCAACGTAGACCACAAAGCCTGTGTTGCCGTCCGAATCCTTCGGTATGCCAAACACAAAGTCGATACTGATGTACTCCTAACACCACATGATTTACGTTGACAATGGATACGTCCATGTTTCGCATCTAAGACGTGTAACACACAACATATCCAGTTCAATAACCGCGTGTAACCCCGTTACATCAGTCTACATTCTTGCTTGCATCTCGTAGTCGGGGCTAGATAACAACGCAAGCGCCTACAATGCGATATACCTGCCTTCGATATTGCTTGCTGACCGTATACATCTACTTTAGCTCATGGCACGTTCGACGAACATTTGCACCAATTTGCATCGCAGTCCGCGAGTCGTTTCGTCGCCTCTGCGTAGCCCAGACGACAGCGAAATTTGAGTATATTTGACAAAAACTCACACTTCAAGTGACATGGTAGTGACTCTAACAAATGTTCATGAGATTTGGAGCAAACGGCTCTCGGTGGTCAAGTGACGAGAGACCAGATGTTCGTCAATAGAAGGGCATGAAGTTGCAGTCGCTTTGATAGCACGCAACGAACTGCAAATCAGAGCACATGTAACGGGGCACCCTGAAGCTTGTACTGGTGATAGTACAAGCTACTTATTCTGATGACAGAATAAGGCGGTGCCTCGTAACTTCACGTACACTGGTACGTGCAGAGGAAGACGGTAAGAAGAAGCGAGTACTTGATTGAAGTAAAAAGTAGAACTGTATTTATCATAGTTAATGTCTGTTTATAAATCACTATTTATCTTCATCTAACTATGTCTAAATACAAATGTGTACATCAAATATCTGCTCACCACTCATTGCGTGCGTCTGTCGTGGTGCGCCTTCGTTGGTTGATATAATGGCCTATATCAACCAATTAGGAACTACTCGTAAGTGCTGCAGAATATTTGTCCTTATGACAATATTCTGAGAACATAACTCTTATGGTTACATGCTATTAACAATTTCTAATAAATTGTTATGTAGAGATTCACCCCGTTACAGCACAACTGTCCAATGAGAGCACAAAGCCGACAGCGAGCTATTGTTGGCGACGCAATAGTTCGACAAATATGGTGTGGTCCACTCGCTCCCAACGGGTAAGTCGCAGTTCTGCTCGACACCTGTTACGTCATCCACACCAAGCCGCGACCACCACAACCACCACAACCACCACAACCACCAGCACTGAGATCGACAGTCTCATGCGGGTCTACTACTTTGCCCTCGCCTTCTGTGCCGCTCTTGCTGGTGTGACCATTACTGCGTCGGAACCGGCCGAATCGGCCATATCCTTGGGCAGCGTTCACGACGCCGCTAAGCATCAAGATGGCGTCCATTTCGAACGGTCGCTGATGGCGGCTGAAGCTACCAATCACGAAGCCAGGTCGTCCATGGGTGAGCAGCCGGTGACGGTAGTCAAGTCGATGACAACGACAGTCAAGGCATGGATCGGACGTTTCGCGCAACATGCATCGATGGAGCGATTGGTTTTGGTGGTCAAGGCGTGGGCCGAACGCCTAACGCGATATGTGAAATTCAAGCTGTTGCAGTACAAGTTCGATGCGTTGGCTAAAGAAATCGAAGGAGCAGTTAAGGAAAACCGCAAAATTTGGGCCCATTGGCTTATCGATAGTTTGACAGCAAAGGAAGCGGATGGCTTGGCTAAGTTGTACATGTACAGAGGACAAGGAGACACTCCCGACGCAGCGTTGGCCAATGTTCTAGCGGGCACCTATGGTGATGAGGCGATGGTTTATGCGCTTAACATTGATTTTTTGGTTCGTTATTTTCGCGCAGGAACAGGCAAGGAAAGAGTGCAGAGCGCAATGATTGCGCATTGGAAAGCGGGGGACTACACACTGGAAACGATGATCAGCTGTATTCATAAGGCTTTTTGGCCGTTTCGAGACCATGACTTCTTCCATCCTGCAGTCCAAAAATTCTTGAAAGCAGTTTTTCCTGCCAGCTCCCACGACGACGTGAACGAAGCCCTGTTCAAGCATTTCAACAAGAATGTACGCCGACTTGCAAGTGCTTTAAAAACCGCGGAAAGCAGTGCCGATCATGACCATGAAGCTGTCAGGGAATGTGCTAGGTGGCTGGAATCTTGGCAGAAAGTGAATGTCAATGGGGCAGCTATGATTTAGTCTGGATGCAGCAAGATCGTGTGCAGCTCATTTGCTTCCAAGGTGGTCGAAGGGTAGCCATGTTTCGCAAGCGGGATTTGTTTGCAGCGTAAACGAGCGTCTGCAGATGCTGGAAAGGGTGCGATCTCTTAGCATGGTGACACGACACCCACGTTGAGTGTAGCTAGCTTTTCTTTTCATCTGATAATATCCTTGTTTTTTTATTTGGCGGCTTATGACTTTGTTGGCAGAGTAGGCGTAGCATCTGCAGATCACACATCGAGTCGGGTTCGATCGGGGTTCTCCGCGCGTCGTATACGTGGCAGCGACAAGCATAGAACGACCAAGTACGTAAGAAGTTTGTTGAATGCTCGTCATTGTCAGCTACTGTTCTGTTCACTGGCATTTGTAGTCAAATCCCCTGCTCGAGTCGTTTGGGAATGCCAAGACCAAGCGGAATGACAACTCGAGTCGCTTTGGCGAGTTTGCGCAGCTGCAATTCGACACGATAAGTCTCTTGTCGGATGTCTGGATGAGACGTATTTGCTGGAAAGGAGTCGTGTCGTGGGTCAGACAGAAGGCGGACGTAATCACCACGCGTTTTACCAGGTCTTTCGCTTGTCTGACGAGCGGAAGAAAGAGCTCAGGCTACATGGTGACGCCACGAACTGCAAGTACGTGGCTGAAAGGGCGACTGCTCAATTGACGGGCATTGATGATGTCCAGTGTTTGGGAGAGACACAGGATGTTCCCGATACGATTGGCATTTCCACGGACGAGCAGAATGCAATCTTTGAGATTGTGGCAGCGAATTTGAACCTGGGCGAAGTTGAGTTTGTGCCGAACGCAAGTGACAGCGAAAAGAGTCACGTGCGCAACAAAGAGATCGTGGACAATGTCGGTGCGTTGCTGTGTACCAAGAGCGCAGCGCTCCACTCGACGTTACTGAGACGATCTATTACAGCTGGTTCCGAGTCGTACACGATTCCGCTGAACGCCGAACAGGCGTCGGATCTCCGTGACGCTTTGGCAAAGGGTATGTATACGCAGCTCTTCGACTGGCTCGTGGACCGTAACAACAAGGCTATTTGCTCCACGAAAAACGTCCAGACGCACACTGATATGCTGGATATCTTTGGTTTCGAGAGCTTTGACCAGAATGGGTTCGAACAGCTGTGCATCAACTATGCCAACGAGAAGCTGCAGTAGAAGTTCAACAGGGACGTGTTTAAGGATATGCAGCAAGAGTACGTGGATGAAGGGATTCCGTTAACCCTGGTGACTTTTGAGGACAACCAACCGATCCTAGACCTCATTGAGGGCCGAATGGGAATCGTCAGCAGCTGAAGGAGGAAGTGCTCCGCCCTCAGGCTACCGACAGTACTCTTGTGAGTAAGGTTCTAGATGCTTGCAGCGACCACTTGAGCATTGAGAAGAACCGGATCAATCCGCTAGAGTCCATCATCTACCATTATGCTGGAAATGTGACGTACTACGGTGCGGGCTTTTTAGAGAAGAACAAGGACACACTGCCTACGGATATGGTGCAGCTGTTGTCTGGTAGCCACAACAAAGTCATTTCAGGTATCTCCACGCCCACACAGGCGAGCAAGCGCAGCAGCCGCGGCAAGAACGGAAAAGAAGACCGCCAAAAGGGTAGTCTGGCGGGTAACACTATCGCTGGTGCGTTCTGTAAGCAACTGTCAGAACTGATGCTGACCATTAACAAGACCTCATCGCAGTATGTGCGCTGCATCAAGCCGAACGCGAACAAGAGTGCAGCTGAGTTTGATCGCCTCATGATTGTGGAGCAACTGCGCTGCGCTGGCGTGATCGCTGCCATTCGCATCAGTCGTGCTGCCTTTCCGAATCGTTTGCCACTTGTCGAGTTCCAGCAGCGTTTCCAGATCATTTGCCCGTCGGCACTGCGTGACGCGGAACCTTCGGAAATGGTAGCTGGTCTGCTGAAGGAGTTGGTGCCCGACATTGCTACCAGCATGCAAAACACCAAATTTGCTGTTGGCTCGACGAAGGTCTACTTTAGCTCGGGTCTGTTGCAGCGATTGGAGGACCGTCGCAACGTGATCCTGAAAGATCATGCGATTCTCGTTCAGAAGTATTGCATGGCTACGTGTATCGCAAGCGCTTCTTGCGCCAGCGTGATGCTGCAGTTGAGATCCAGTCTAGGACGCGCGGTAGCTTCCAGGCGAGACGTTACCGTACTCTGCGCACTGGAATGATTAAGCTGCAGTCTCTCGAGCGTGGCCGCAAGCAGCGTTACCTGTTTGGATTGCTCCTCAATCGTGTTCGAAAGGAGCGCGAGCTTGATCGAGAACGTCTTCGCAAGATTGCCCAGCAAGAGGTGGCGGAGCGCATTCTCCAGAAGGAGATTGAAGAGCGCATACTTCAGAAGGAGATGGAAGAACGTGATCACAGCGATCTTCAGCCGGTGAGCTTGAGTGTTGCTATTTGTTTGACATGTTGGTTCCCGCATTACATTACTCAGGAAGTTGTGTGTGACAGGAGCCAGTGGAAGACGGTTGGAGTGATGAAAGCGATAAGGAGGATGAGGAGGGTATAGAGGACATATTGGCTGTGTCACCGCGTACGCTTCGCGCCCCTACGGAAGCGGCTTCGAAGGTTGCCGAGGCAGAATCTGCAGCTCGTAACGCCAAATAGGCCGCTGAGGCTGCCCTGGAGTTCAATCGTGAGCTGGTTGCGCAGAACGATCGCGAACGCTCGACTTTGTCGTCCATCGTGGCTGAATATGCTGACGTTGAATTGCTGCGTGAGAACGAGCGGCTGAAGCAGCAGGTATTGCAGCTCCAGACAAAGCTAGTGCGGTCTCAAGAGGTGTCGCTTATTTCTGCCAAGGTGGTCGACAGCCGAATCGCTTACCGTGAAGGTCGTCAGTTTGTCGAGTACAAGCTACAAATCGAGACCAACACGCGTGGCACATTGTATGTGTGGCACTGGTACAGCACGTTCCGTAACCTGGCTGCTACTCTCCAGACTGAGAATGGACACAAACGCAAGGAGATACCGGAGCTGCCAAACAAGCAGCTGTTTGGCAACTTTTCCGACAAGATTATTTCGGACCGTGTGGCGAAGCGGAACCAGTTCCTTGAGGCTGCCACGAACGCCGAGTACCTCCAGTGGGATATCCGTGTGGACCAGGACACGTGCGTGTACAAGCGTCGTGTGAAGAGCGCCTCACGGGAAAGCATATCAACTGCTAGTATGCAGTCGTCGTCACCGCGTTCATCATCCCGGTTGTCGATGAAGTCATTCAGCTTCCGTCGTGGCAGTACAGCTGGCAATTGAACTGCTCCGTTCGTGAAGGTATTGCGCAGCATGCGCGAACCGATGACAACGACAATACAGTGCAGTGATTGCATCGCGTGTAGTCGCTAACTTTGGTCAAGTGCCCGAACGAGTGGAATGCGGTTGTAAGCGCATGATTGCGAGCCCGAAGAGGTGCAGCTATCAGTGAGTGTGAGCAAGGTTGAATACTGAACTTTTTAATCGTACTTTTTGTGTCTGTCTGTCTGTCTGTCTGTCTGTCCTGATGTCCGTCTGTCTGTCTGTCCGCCCTGATGTCTGTCCGTCCGTCTGTCTGTCCGCCCTGATGTCTGTCTGTCTGTCTGGCTGTCTGTCCTGATGTCTGTCCCTTTGTGTGTCTATCTGTAAAAAACGCGGTTAGGTGCGCCTTACCCGTACTAAGTGCGACCTGGACTGTCCCCCCCAAGCCGCTCTCTCTTCGGCTAGGTCACTATTGTAGTACAACAGTGACTTAGCCAAAGAGTGACTTCGGATGCTTGGGAATATCGGCTTAATATCGATCAAAGCTGAATATGATCACATAAGCAAACACTGGACCTGTAACGGGGCACCCTGAAGCTTGTACTGGTGACAGTACAAGCTACTTATTCCGATGACAGAATAAGGCGGTGCCTCGTAACTTCACGTACACTCGTACGTGCAGAGGAAGACGGTAAGAAGAAGCGAGTACTTGGTTAAAGTAAAAAGTAGAACTGTATTTATCATAGTTAATGTCTGCAATAAATCACTATTTATCTTCATCTAACTATGTCTAAATACAAATGTGTAAATCAAATATCTGCTCACCACTCATTGCGTGCGTCTGTCGTGGCGCGTCTTCGTTGGTTGATATAATGGCCTATATCAACCAATTAGGAACTACTCGTAAGTGCTACAGAATATTTGTCCTTATGACAATATTATGAGAATACAACTCTTATGGTTACATTCTATTAACAATTTCTTATAAATTGTTATGTAACGATTCACCCCGTTACATCACCCCCCCTTAACCATCAGTCACTTTAGTGACTGATTGACTAAATGGATACTCGTCCCAAATCATTTGGGACAGGGTTTGCACTTGTTGGTCCGAGTCCACTTCCCAACATTTCATCGCATGGTTAACAAGCCCATGCGATGCGCGAGCAAGGCCGCCGAGAGCGCGTCCGCACGTTTCTGTGCGGACGCCGAAGCAGAAACCACAGCAACTGATGTCTCATCGGTTGCTGAAGCGACCCAGCCTGTGTCACTTGGTGATGCAGGCGCTGGTCATGAAGACACTCATGTCTTCACAGAGTACGAGCTCGGTGTCTCGTACTCTCCTGATGCGGAAGACGGATCCGTATCGACGGCGATTGAATCTAAGCCGCCTGCCAAGCGTGGCATGGACGATGCTTTGCGTCGCAGCATCTTTGGTTTATTTGATGAATCAGATGAACCATCGCCGAAGCAAAGGCGCTCGAGGTCGCGAGACTCGGGCGCTAACAGTGGTGTCGGTTCTCCTATGGACACCACTTCGCAACGAGGTACCAGTACTTCTGTCGGCACATCGCAGGAAGAGCGGGATCGCAATGTCTTGCGTCTCGCTCCCGAGAAGAAGGCATGTATGCCTCCAAAATCTGTCATGGATCACTTGTCGGTGACGACGAGTGATCGTTATCGAACACGATTGTTCGATTCGTCAAGATCCATCACCTTGACCCCAGCGCGAAAAACTATCGCGCTGAGAATGATTTCTTCATCGAAGCTTTCTTCAAACATCGATGGTACAGTGGGAATCACAAGCGTGATGGTCCCTCACTACTTCAAGCGTGGAACGCCTACATCCATAACCTTGAGGATGTAGGTCGTGACGCTTGGAACGACAAACTTATCAAAGCTCGTGATAAGTTTGAAAAGCGAACCCCGACAGGTGCACGCTACAAGCTGCATCGTCTGTCAAGGGAGAAAGGATTACCCTGCCTCTCTTGGCGAGACTCGTGCCCGTGTTGTGTGAACAACTCTGCACGAGCACCTAAGGAGGCTTACCTCCTTACCAGCCCGTGGTGGCGCGTACGTGTCTCTACTGAGATGTACGAAGGGATTGACAACCTGAAATCCCTTTACGACCGTGCCGGGAAGACTTTCTCCGGCGGTCCTTCTGCGGCACAGGATGTGCCGCGTCGTACTGCTCAACCAGACCCAGTACGTCGATCATCAGTTGGGAGCGGGGCTCCCAAGAATCCCAGGACGGGGGATAGCCGCGCCACCGGACGAGATAACTCGTCCGACGTCCGTTCACGTCGCGGTGGTTCAACAGCTGCTTAACTAGATAGCGCTGGCCACCGCGAGAGTCCTCTAATGGAGGTGGAGGAGGAGGAAAGACGCTCTCCACACGATCATGTGGATCGGTGTGTACCCGAGAGCTTCTTTGATCGCGTAACGCAAGGGTTACGCGACGATCTCGAGCATGAGCGGAATAGGCGTCTCCAGATGGTGGACACTGCCTCGAAGCATCGAGCTGAGTTTGCCTTTGCTCAGCTTGAGAACGAGAGATCTCTAACTTCTCTTCATGACGAGCGAAGGGTAGCTCGTGGGATTGTTGATCGGTCTCGGGATGAGATAGCTGCTCTTCAGACCCTTGTTGATGCCCAACATCGGGAGAACAAGGCTCTCTGCGAGATGCTTGAGCACAAGGGCGTTCTTCATCGGAAGAAGCAGCGTACTGATGGTACGGCTTAAGCCGACCAACGTAAAACGTGGGATGCGTTCGCATCTTACGTGGTAACTCGATCGTGTATGCATTGCCTAGGCGGTGCAATACACGAAATGGGCCGATGCACTTGGGTAGTAGTTTACTGCTACCCAAGTTTCACTACATGCTTTGGTAGATTAACCGTAGACAGTAGGACTAAGTCACCTTTATTAAATAAAAGAGTGTTTGCCCTTCCATTCTTGTCAGCGTTTTGCTTTTGCTTGTCCACCGCTTCGGCGATGAAGTCTTGCACAAAACGGACTACCGTTTCACGAGCCAGTATGAACTCATCTGCTGACTCGTTAGCTTCAGTGCGCTATGAGTGCATTGCAGCAACATCAATCTTTTCTTCAGTGAGGGCTTCCGCACTCTCACTGGCATCATCTTCTTCGATATCGATGTTATCGATATCGGCATCAAACGCAATGACCTCTTCGTCAGAGCGTGATGAGCGTGAACCAAATCGGTTTTTGCTCGCGCGAGTCCCTCCCCCCCTTAAACCAGAGTTACACTCTAGTAGGGTGGGTACACGCGGATGGCGCAAGCCGTTCACGTAAAACGGTGTATGTGTCGTGGACGCATGCACCGAGTTGTTAATTGCAAACTCTACCATTGCCAAAAACTCACGTCAACTCTTAAAGGAGTGTACGTATCCTCGAAGTATCTCTTCAAGGACACGGTTGGCACGTTCCGTCTGACCATCTGACTCTGGATGATCAGATGTCGACATCTTCAAGCGCGTTCCGAGTGATTTGAACACGGAACGCCAGAAATCAGCAGTGAATCGTGGATCTCTGTCTGATACGAGTTTACGGGGCAACCCATGAAGTCGGAAGATGGTGTCGATAATACACAAGCGCAGCCACTTGCCGTGATTGTCTCTGGTACAGCCACAAGGTGTACCATTTTGCTGAATCTGTCAAAAAATACGAGAATACCCGTATTCCCGCGTGCGTCTTTGGGTAACCCGAAGACGAAATCCATTGATATGGATTCCCAGCACTCAGCCGGAACCGGTAGAGGCTGTAAAGGTGCACGCAGTGAAGGACTTGACTTCACTCGTTGGCAGACTTCGCATGCGCGAACATACTTTCGCACAAACTGATACTGGCGAGGCCAGTAAAAGTCTCGACTTACCGTGAGATATGTTTTCTCTCGGCCACGATGTCCTCCTGTAGGAGCATCGTGATGCTCGAACATGATCCGCGAATGCAGATCAGCATCATCTGGAATGACAACTCGTGGTGTGTCACTAGAAACGGCTGTATAATACAGTAAACTGTTGTGAGTAGTGTATCGATCTGATGCAGATCGATACGCAGACGATAATCGTTTCAACGATTCTCGAGATGGCTGTGAGAGATGTGTCAACAATTTCACAATCTCACCATCTTGGGCGTATGCCCGCCTCAAATCATCATTCAACGTTGTAGATGGGACTGAGGACGTCATAACCGCAACAGTGGCTGTCTCACTGTTGGTTCTCACGACTGGTTCAAAGTCGGGCAAACGTGAGAGTGCATCAGCGACGACATGAAGTCGTCCTGGTTTGTATTCTACCGTAAAGTTGCATTCTGCAAAGAATGACAACCACCGCGCCATTCGTTGTGGAAGGTGCGGGCTGTTCACTGCCGTGCGTAATGACGCATGGTCAGTGTAAACAATGAAGGGTCGATCTCCTAATAGATAGACTCTGAACTTCGCGAGTGCATACTCCATGGCAAGGAGTTCCTTGTCATGCACTGGATATTTCCGCTCAGCTGGTTGCAGCGGACGCGACTGATAGCAGACGACGCGTTCAACGCCTTCAAGATCGTACTGCAGTAATGCACAGCCGATTGCAAAATCGCTGGCATCACAGACCACATGAAATGACCTGTCCTGATCGGCTATTGCTAGGACTGGGGATTGTATCAAGCTCTGCTTGATACCATCAAAGGAGCGCTGACATTCAGCGTTCCATAACCACCTCTCGTTCTTTTTCAACAAACGAGAGAGGTGCACAGTCATCTCGGCGTAATTGCGTGAATACTTATGCAAATACGCCGCTAGCCCAAGGAATTTTCGAAGACCTTTGACATCAACCGGCACAGGCCAGTCGGTGATCGCCTTGATCTTTTCGGGATCAGGACGTACACCGTTCTTACCAACGATGCACCCAAGAAGTGGTATTTCGCTTGCTACAATATACACTTCTTGAGGTTTGCATACAATTGATGCTTTCGCATGATTGTAAGAACCTGTCGGACGTGGTATCTGTGAACCTCAACGTCCGACTTTCCATCCATAGCTCGACTATGGATGAATCTGCCATCGAAATAACTTGGTGCGAATTCTCTTACTGGTCTCAACAGACGCGTATCACATCTGTTGAACGTGGCAGGGGCATTACTAAGCCCTTGTGGCATTACTAGCCATTCCCAGAGCATGCCGCTAGGCGTGCTCACTGCGGTATGGGGTATGTCCTGTTCTCGCATAAGGATTTAATAGAAGCCATCCATCAAACCCATGGACGAAAAGATGGTACTCTTTGACATACCATCTATGATTACGTCCTTCCTTGGTATCGACGTCTGAGCTGGTACAGTTGCAGCATTCAACTTGATAAATGCATGCACAATCCGCCACCCTCCTGTTGCTTTTCGCACACAGAAGGTCGGAGAGCTATGTGGGGAAGTTGATTCCCTCACATGGCCCGCAGCTAAACGATCGGCAAAGAACTTGTCGATCGCAAGTACTTGTTCACGAGGCAGTGACCACTGCTTCATGACACAGTACTTCGAGCCTGGTTTGAGCTCGACCTCGTGTCGAATACATTTATCCTTCGGTAATTCGCACGGAACAGTTTCAGGGAATACATCCTTGAATTCAACCAAATCTTCATAGAGAGGATTTGTCTTGAGCGATTCCCACGATTGGGAGTCATATCGCTCAATTCGTGTCTTTTCATCTAGGACACTCTCGTCCATAGATGAACTACTGAGAACTCTCTCGTTCTCAGTGAACACTGTTGCTGACCTTATGTCGGTTACACACTCGTCGTCAGCGACGAGTATGCAGATCTGCTTGACTTTGCCACTACGCAGATCACGCAAGAACCTTTTATGTTCGAGCGTTGGCAACTGAATGATCTCCGAAGTCAACTTCGGAGGCACATTCAGATCAAGTGTATAAGCGCCTACACTTGATCCGTTATTGACTATGACACTCAATGTCTCTGTCATTTCCTGGGGACTTATTCCCTCAGGCTTCGAAGGACTTATTCGTTCGGCTTCCCGGGGACTTAGTCCCGCGGGTTTCGGGGAACTTATTTCCGCCGTATTTGTAATCTTGGGACTTATTCCCTTTACTTCCTCTAGCTGGGGTTGCGCAACCACAGCGAGATCCTCTACGAAAGACTCTCCAGTCGATCTAGGATTGTCGTTTCGCTTAACCTGAGCGATCGATTGTTTCTCTTCTAGATGTTCCCCGCTAGGGATACATCTTTGTCCCAGTCCACCCGACTTATTCGAGTGGTGGACCTTCGGCGCAGCCTGTGTTTCCTCACAGCCGCCGGAACTTTGCTCCGAAGTGTAACCATTTGGTACACTAAGGTATTGTGCAGTCGTACTAACGACCGTACCACAAGTGAGGCCATCGCACTCACTCGTAGTACATCCACACGCTTGTGGACGCTCCAAAACGTTCATCAGATGGCCATCTGTTGAACAAGCGGCAGGCATCGTTACTGTTCGATGTTGCCAGTTTACCCGTGGTTCGTACCTTATAAGCCACGGTATTCCAAGAATGACATCAAATTTGTCATCCAAATCCAATACGATAAAGTCATCGTCATATTGGGTATCTTGTAGCGTATAGTGGATCTTCACTATACGCTTCATGACGGTTACGGATGCGCCTATCGCAAGACGTACCGTCATCCTTGTAGGAGGTGTGTCACATTCACTGAACTTAAAGTGACCATAAGTGACCATCTTCTAGCGATTGGCGTCGCACAAAATTGTTGGACGCCCCACAATCGACTAGAGCTCGAAGGGACAACTTATTCGTCACTTCGAGTTTCAAGGTAATGAGTGATACCTCATTACCTAGAGCAGCAACGCACAACGTTTGTGTGTTGGGAGCAACCTTCATCAAGAGGCCTACAAATTCTCTTGACGTTGCTGGATCAGTAGGGTGCTCCGCACCTACTGATCCTGTCCGTTTTTTGACGGTCCATCCCGTTGTTGCGTCTTTGCACCAACAGCGGACCCTCGTCCCTGCCCCTTTCTCCTGGGTGGACGGTCACTACGCCCAGCGTCGCGAGACACTGGACGAGGGGCACTACACTCGTAAGCGTAGTGTCCTGTCTTTTGACATCTGTTGAATCTCTGCAACTTCTTGTAGCCTGTAGAGCGAGCCTTTTCGCTCTCTACATAACAGAGTTCCATCGGCTCTGGACCTCCGCTGTCATATCGTCTCGGTTGACGATATGATGTCGAGATGGTGCGAGCCTGTCTCAGACTGAAGTCTTCCTGCTCCGCAATGGAAATGGCTTGTTCTAGTGAATCTAGTTCAAGTCGGAACAGGTGAGTCTTGACGGGACCATCCGCAAGACCCTGCATGGACACCGAAACCAACGTGTGTTCATCCACCGGGTTGGAACTTATACAACTCGTAAGATGTTGCATATGTTGTGCGTAAGCGTGCACATCACGCTTACCCTGCTTGAGCTTCAAGAGTTCGGTTCGAGCTCTGAACTCAGCTCTAGGCGGTTCAAACGTTTGTCTGAGCCGCGACTTGAAGACTTCCAACGACCCAAACGCATATGGGTCGTGCAACTTGAGCCCCATAGCCCAAGTCTTGGCACGTCCTGCAAGATTTGATTGGGCAAATGCAACTTGCATATCCCCGTCGTCGATGCGACGCGCCCTTATGGCGTCATCCAATTCGACGAACCATCTCAAGAGGGAGTCCTCTTCGACTCCTCTATACTTGGAGATGTCAATCTTCAAGGTCTCGGGTCGACGCGAATGCATCGACCCACCAGCAGCAGCCTGCTGCTGTCTCAACAGTTCAAACTGTTGAGCACTGTTCTCTCAACAACTCTGCTTGTTGAGAACCTTGTTGGTGAAGCAAGGCTACTTTCTCGCGTTCAGCGTCAAGTTCATTTTGAATGAACTTGGCGATAGTAGCATGTTGGGCATCTCTATTGAGAGCCTCTAGCATGACACTAACAGCATGGATGCCCATGGTCGAACCCATTCGTTCAACCGCACCCCATTCGACATCGCTCAAATGGGAGTAGCCGTCACGCGTAGCGTGAAAGCTTTGGTCATCTTCATCATCCAACATATTCATGTTGGATGTGAACGTGGTCCTTGGACGGACTACGAAGTGCTACCAGGTGTAACGGGGCACCCTGAAGCTTGTACTGGTGACAGTACAAGCTACTTATTCTGATGACAGAATAAGGCGGTGCCTCGTAACTTCACGTACACTGGTACGTGTAGAGGAAGACGGTAAGAAGAAGCGAGTACTTGTTAAAGTAAAAAGTAGAACTGTATTTATCATAGTTAATGTCTGTTTATAAACCACTGTTCATCCTCATCTAACTATGTCTAAATACAAATATGTATATCAACTATCTGCTCACCACTCATTGCGTGCGTCTGTCGTGGCGCGTCTTCGTTGGTTGATATAATGGCCTATATCAACCAATTAGGAACTACTCGTAAGTGCTACAGAATATTTGTCCTTATGACAATATTCTGAGAATATAACTCTAATAGTTATATTCTATTAACAATTTCTTATGAATTGTTATGTAACGATTCACCCCGTTACAGGACCCTCATAAGCAAGGGTCGATCGCGTTGTTCATGTAAATGTACAGGGCTAAAAAGACATTTCCAGTTCCATACCTTTTCTTCAGTGACTGCTGTTGCAAGATAGTGTCATACAATTTACGTGGAACTCCGAACTGAACTACTCATATCAAAGGGTGAGCCCCAGAGCTTGCTCCAATGTAAAGGGATTACACATCGTAGGGTGATCGGTACCCTGTGTCGTAGGCACACGGGATGGTGTTTCACCGAAGGCGATAAAGAATATCTGATCGGATTACAAGGGCTGACGGGTGTCAGCCACAAGACAGAAAACATCTTGAAGATATCAATCAGGACATAAGTGCCTGGATTATCAAATTTCAGGATCATGATATTCGGTAGAGTTAAGCGTAAATAAAGTTCAGTTCCTCTTTTGATCTTGTCGAAGACATACGTCTTGCGCGCGTCTCTGATTGTAGATCCTTAAAAGTTAGCAACGACTCCATGAGGTAGCTACTCTTCAGTACTAAGTGCTATATATTCACTGAATTATTCAGTCCCCTGAAACAGGGACCTTAAGCTTCACGCTTGTTGACTCATATAGTTTATTCGTTAGATTTAATATCGCTCTTAATGCGCTATGTACTCCTCTGAATAAAGAGGCTATGAGTTCCACTACACTTGGTAGAAATCGTAGTCAATCTACGCCTGAGTCTTCAGAGACATGATCCTCTGCGAGGATAGAGAAGGCATTGGACCTCTACGAGGCCAGCAGGTCACGCTTGAGAAGCTCACGGCGTTGATCGGGCACGAGCAAGAGGCTCTTATAGCGTCGATAGGCCCGGACGCACTTCGTGCAAATCTCGAGGCCTTCTCGAGCTTTGAGTCCACGTTGATCGGACAGGTCCATGACCATTTGGCATCTGCCATGCCCACTTGGTATGTTTCAATACCAGACACTGAGTTTAGAACCTGTTTTCTGGTGTTATGTGTCACGACTTTCGAGGGGGAAAGAGAAAATCTCCTTTTGTGGGTTCGAGAGATGAAGGTTGCCATCAGCTCGGGCTTGCTGAGGTCAGAGCAGCAGATGGTGGTCTAGCCCTATCAAAGAAGGTGGCCGATCTAGGTAGTGGGCTTTTAATTCTGGTATTTCGATTGAAGAGGCTTTTACCACCTGGGACATGCTAAAACAGTAGCTATCTAGGGTGTTTGCTTCGCCTAATAAGGCATGTCGCGTGCGATCACGCTTCCTGTCAACCCGCCAGGGTAAATAGGACTTAGTCGATTATGTCCAGTAGTTGCGAACTCTAATTGCTGATTTGCAACTTGATCCTTTACCTGAGACGGGTTAAGTAACCATTATCATGAACGGTATTCGCAGTGGCGTTGCCAGACCAGAAGTGTTTCGTACAGAACCCTTGTAATTTGAGGTCGCAGTGGACATAGCGTTGAACGCAAAGTTCAACTTTTATAGCTTCCCGCTACGGAACTTATGAGTTCCAATGGAGCTCGTCGGCGCAATTCTCATCTCATGGATAGGGAAAATCCCGTGGACCTTAGTCTCGCTGAGAGAGATGAAGAAGCTGAGCTTTACACTGTCGAACAGCGTTTGAACATTCATAGATGTTATGCGTGCGGAACCATCAAACACCTTTTCCCCGATTGTACTTTGAGAAGGACCAGACAGGCTCATTCGAGCCGACATCCCGTCGCTAAATAACGAGTCGGTAAGGCGCAGGAAAACATCAAGTCCCAGTAGGCGTGGGACGCCCTTCTGGGGAGAATTTGAGCTCTGTTGTACCTCTGGGAGGTGATGGAGAACAAGGCCTAGCCCCGAGTGACTTCGTGCACAATGTCACGAAGCATGCGTACAAGCCGGGCTTGTTAGTTGCGTAAGCAACAGTAAGGGATTTGATAAGCCATGGTCGATATTGATCGAATCCGAGGCGTAGGGAATTACGTCCGACGTTGTTTCCTGGGAGGTAGTCAGCAGTATGCTGAGATTATAAAAAGCGCAAGAAGAATGAGACTAGCACTGTTCGATTGGCGAAAGGTGCATCAGTCACTGTGCCTAAAGTGCCTGTAAACTTAGGCGAGTAGTTTTCGGACGTTGACAGTATCGAACGCTGTCTCTTCCTTGACTTGGATGATTGATATTATCTCATCCTTGATACGGCATGGATAGAACGCTATGAGCAATGAATTGATCGGAGGCCAAAGACCTTAGGCCCAACGCGCACTGTTCCTAGTGAAGCTTGGAGTGTCACGAACCCACCTCTTCTAGAAGACAGAAGCGCTATTGGCGCGAGCCACGGACTGAGACAGTCAGTGTGCTGTACATCGGTATAGCTGAACTCGTTGAGTTGGAAGATTTCGAAAACGTTAGTTACAAGCCGAGCCCAAAGACTGTTAGTGAAACGGCACGTAATCCGTCAAGTGATGATCGTTGTGATAACGAATCACTGAATGCTTGATGACTTGTAATTTCACCAACAATGTCAGTCAAGACATTGTTGGTGAAATTACAAGTCATCAAGGACAAGCTTATTTAATAAGCGTGGAGTGGCACGTAAGTACCCACTGGGTGGTGATCTCAGTGGAAGTGACTCATCACTAGATGTCGGTAATGGCATTAGATCAGATGTAAAAACAAACTAAGGTTGACATATTTCGTCACCTTAAGGGCGGTATAGTCCCGGGTTTAGGTGTTAAATCGGCTCTGGTAATGAGCAACTTAAGGCTGACGGTCATGTCAATCTTGGGGACACTGATGTTCCGAGTGTAGGTAATGACACCGGCTCTTGTAGAGCAAGTTAAGGATTGAGACACTTCGTCTCGTCAAATAGACGACAGCGACTCCAGAGTCATGTCATGCAACACAAGGCGTCTGTTACGTATTTGAGTGATACCAGCGAGCAGCTTTATGCACTCATTAATGGAGTGACTTTTGACGTTGATGGATCTGTGAGTCTTGAGATTCTACCCTCACCATATACTCTGTTTGAGCTGGGCGAAATGTCTGTCGATGAGTTTGGCCTGACCTTGAAGTCGGGTGGCTTATCTAAAGTGGTGATTGTCAGATCAGACAATGAGTTAAACGCGTTGCCACTTCTCGACGAGGCTGTCTAAGAAGACACAAAGGCGGCACTGAGTGCTTGAAGTGGGTTGTCGATCTTGGAAGATCCAAAGGACTCGTTTATTCTTTGGTTAAGAATATTTAGGATGTGATGTGTCACGATCCACCGTCCACTTTGCCTCCTGATTGGGGCGTAAGTCATGAAATTGACCTGGTTCCTGGAATCAAATACTGTATGACACGACAATGACCTTTACCAAAGGAGCAGTGTGACTTCATTAACAAGTTCAATTTATGCAAAGCACGCGGCTGGTATGGTGCGTGGAAGCAAGTCTCCGCACTCGACACCGACATTTTGTGTCAGGAAGCCAAATGGCAAGTGGCGTATTTCACGTGCTTACAGTAAGCTTAACGCAGCCACTCTACCGGCACAGACTCCAATTCTATAAAAGTATGTTCTTCAAAACGCTATGGTAGGTTGTGCCATGTTCAGTGCACTCGACTTGGTCGATGGGTATTATCAGTTGCTTTTGCAAGCGAGCTATATTCCGCTAACAGAGGTTAGTACTCCAAGCGGTATGCTTCAAGAGTGACTTGTCATGTTTCAAGGGCTGTCAATTGCTCTATCTACATTTAATCCTCTTCTGACGAAATTGTTCCGAACCCACCGAGGTTATGCACAAAGCTATCTGAATGACATTTTTGTCCATAGCCGTGCAGAACATGGTATGTCAGATGTGGACAATCACATTGACCACTAACGAGCAGTGCTCGAGTGCATGGGCACAAACGAGCTGTATGCAAATGCATCAAAATGCATTTTGGTGCTGAAGATATTACCTTTCTAGAGAGCTTCACGGGAAGCGTGGCCTTCGTGCGGATCCCGCTAAGGTGAAGTCAATCGTTTGACTTGCCGATTTTGTCGAACCAATAGGACGTGCGTGAATTGCTTGGCCTTGCTAATTACTTGCACAAGCACATTGCAAACTGCGCTGACATGGCAATGCCATCAATACTTTCTCAAGAAGGATGCAGTTTGGTGTTGGGACGCAGTCCATGCTCAAGCTTTTGAAGCTATAGAGGACAGTCTCCTTCATGATTCAATTTTGGCTTAGCCTGACCCTGAGTGGCCTTTTAGTGTCGTCTGTGACGCGTCCGATTTTGCTATTGGTTGTACATTATTGCAGACAGATGTCGATGGACATGAGAGCGTCCTTGCGTATAAATTTCGTCAGCTCCAGGCTGCAGAGAAGAACTATCCAGTTCACGACAAATAGTAACTCGCAAAGAAATAAGCCATTGTCAAGTTCAAAGTCCAACTTTGTGGCTTAGAGCCTTTTGTGATCTTCACAGACCATGCGTCGTTACACGCTGCGACACAATCGCCTCACCTCTTACAACAGATGGCCCGTTAGCTTTTATTATATGCTAAATACAACTTCGAGTTGAAGTATAAGTCGGGCACGCAAAACACTTTGACTAATGCGTTGTCACGCAGAACTGATTGTGAGCTTGCTCATGTTACGACTCTGTCGTCATCCAACGTGTATATAATTCGTGCGGCAAATGCACGTGATGAGCAATGTGTAGTATTGCTACATGATCTTGGAAGCAAGGAGTTTCAAGACTCGGACATAAATTTTTGGTAAATTTATGTGCGAGCTTACATTGATATGTCAACGACGGTGGGTTGTTATGCCATTGCATGGGTGTTGAGGATGTGCCTCTCATCCTTATTCCTCAAGAGGAGGACTTGAGGTATCATTATCTCTTTAAGGCACATTGCACTGCTTTGAGCGATCATCTCGGTCGTGATAAGACCTATAGCTCAATAAAACAGACGAGTTGGTGGCCCAAGTTGTACACATGGGTGAGTACATATGTTCGTACATGTGAAACGTGTCAACGGATAAAACTCTCAGCACATGCGGTTGCACCACTTGCTAGTTTGCCTTTACCCACTGGGCGTTGGGAGTCCATCAGTATCGACTTTGTGTTTAGCCTACCGAAGGATTCGGACGGCAACACTGGTATTGTGATCTTTGTTGACCGTTTGAGCAAGATGGCTCATTTAGCATCTGTGGATGATTCCATCGATGGCGATACAGCAAAGCTGTTTATCGACCGTGTATTTGCCAAAACGGTTTGCCTGTAGAGAGTGTCTCTGATCGTGATCCACGTTTCACTGGCAAGTTTTGGACTTTTATCTTTAATGTGCTGAATACCAGGACGGACGTGTCCACATTGGATCACCCGCAGACCGATGGTCAAATTTAGCGTGTTAAATGTGTCATTGGTGACATTTTGCGCTGTTTTCGTGCCGATAAGCCTAGGCAAACTATGCTCCCATGATCGAATTTGCGTTGAAAAACGCTGTTCATGCATCTGCGGCTTTGCTCCATTCTACGTAAATGGTCTCACTCACCCACGCGTTCCGTTAACGCTTCCTCTACAGCGTCCTGGAATTAGTGTGGAAGTAACAGCCGATCGACTTTCTGACGTCGGCCCTGATACTGTTCAATAACGGTTGAGCGAGTTTCTTGCTGCGCGATTGAATGTCTTACGACATCTACATGATGCAATGGCTGATAGCCTGACAAACAAAAGGAACAAGCTGATGCAAAAGGCAGAAAGTGTATTGATAGTTATGAGTTTGGAGGCCTAGCCTTACTTAAAGCTAAGAGTCTACCCACCAATATGGTGTCAGCGGTCTGTGGGACCAGGTTGCATCCTCGCTTTATTGGGCCGTTTACGGTTGTGGCCAAGCAGGGCATAGCGTATACGCTCAACCTCCCACGCAAGATGCGAACACACCCAGTGTTTTGCGTCGGATTGATTAAGCCTTACGTTGATTCGTTGCTGGTAAATCACGAGGCGCTGGCGCCGAGAGAGTTTACGATGCCACAAGTCGAGGAACCCTCAAGAGAAGATCCAGTTGTCCTTCAAGAAGCGCCACTCGGTCACGCATACCGTGCACCTCGTGCACTTACTCGTCAACGACGCGTCGAGATTCACCTACCAATGCCTGCTCTTGTTGACGATCAAGAAAATCAACAGCACCATGTTGAACGAATCCTTCAGCGACGTCGTCGCGACGGTTAGTACCAGTACTTGGTATAGTGACGAGGGTACCCGGAGTTGGAGAACTATTGGTAGTAAGAAGTGACACTGCGGAAGGATTGTCCGTATGCCGTTGACATTTTCAAACATCGTCTTTAGGGCCAGTCGATCCATATCGCTTCCAAATAGTCGGTGCGGGAGTGAAGGAGGCTGCATCAAGTGCGCTGTTGCGCGGGTGCGTAGCTGCAGCAGCATAGCGGTGCGATTAAACGATCACAGTTGGTCTTTAACCTTTTGTTTTGCAAAATCTAAGCGCATCTTTAGTTCAGGCCGAACGCCAGCAAGTAAGGCGCTCTCTCGCAGATTCGACAAGGATTGGCAGAAAGCGAGCTGGGTGAGCCCAACGCGTGAAGATGACATTATTTTCCGCCTGTGTCTCACCAGTAAAGAGATCGACGGGTACTGATCTCATGGAGAAGACTGTCGCACCTTTTGCTTGCAAATTCAGCCTGTCAACGTCTTGTTGAGCGGTAGTAAGCTTAACCCCCAATTGTCTCGCTCTGAGAGTCTCCCTCTTCGCTAGTGCCGTGGCTGTGACAGCCTTAGTTCCGTGGTCCAAGTTGCGACTGACTTCCCGTAAGCCTGACATATACGCTCATCCGCAGTCGGTGGCGTGAAGCGGTAATTTCTATGAGCACGCGCTGTGGTTAAATATTCTGGTTATCTCCTGCGGTCGTCGACCGAATGAAGAGATTGGTCTCCATAAATTGTGTTGTGCAACACACCAAACGCAGAGGTAGATGGCTGCACGCTGTGCAAGGGGTGAAGGTACCTCCTCGCGTTTCATAAATGGATTAGGCGCGATGCGTGTGTTGTCACGCGCCGGTGGCATGCCTGGAGGACGGTCTTAGACGCTCGAGTCAGCGGTGTCACTCGTGTAGTCCACCATACCCTCTTCAAAGAATTCCTCAAAGGCGTCGACGAAGGCTTTGACTATGTCATTTTGAGATGTGCTGTCAACACGATGGTCAAGGACCAGGGCTCTGACAGACCTCAATGGGCAATAAGAAATGTCGACAGAAGGGTGTCGACAGTTTGGTGGGGGGTGTACCGGAGTCATACGGCGTTTATTGAACCGGTTATGTTGTGTGTCCACACCAAGTAAATATTGGAGGATCAGAGTGGTACGGTATTGGTACCATGTACTAACAATAATACCGCACCTTATCGATTCGGGATAAGGGACCAGACTTCTTTCATAGGATCGCAATGTAGAAGTCAGTCCTGCAGGTGTTTTACATCATTAGGCTTAATGGGTAAATCCTGTTATGTACAAGTCTGACAAGGTTTTTTCCGAGTTTTATTACTGTAGCTAAAGAGTAATTAAAGTTCTGTTCCCCTTTTGAATCATTGGACACTAGTGCCTAGTCAAGGCGAAGTGTGTTGTAAGAGTGTTGGCCTTGTGAAGGCGCTTACTCTTGTATAACTAGTAGTCTTTAGTTAGTGTGATTCCGTGAATCTTAATCCCTTTGGAACCGGGATTGTTAAGCTTGTACGCTTAGACGATTGCACGTCGTTGTTATTTTGTTATAACAAACTGACAACGTCGAGTCTAAGACTTCCTCTGTTAAGGAGCGCTAATCAGCTCCACTACATTCACCTTTCCTTCTATTTAGTTAATTATAAGACGATTTCATAATGGTATCAACTTTTAGCTCTCGATACGAGGTATTGTTTTTATTCGGGTAAAAAAACTTTTTGTGGTCAGTATGGAAAACCACCAAAAATGGAAGTTTGTCGTGCCGTTTTCGTGCAAAAGTTCGACGATAACCAGAAGTTCCAACTGTATTGTGGTATAATCATTCTGTTGCATGATTAGACTGTGTGAATAGTACGCTCAAAATTAAATGCCTTGCATAATGGTTTGACCAAGCGGGTTTGACTAGCATACGCATAGACATGGAATCGCCTCCAATGTACAGAAAACACTAGCAGGAAATATTCAGTAAATTCAAGCTCAATTGATTAAAGTCCTTGGTATCACGTAGTATCCAGGTGAATGGTACTAGGAGCTGGTAGAACCAATAGTGAGGCTTTCACAGTGTTTCCTTATCCAGCAAAATGTCTCTACAGTGATTGATCATACCTAAGAAGCGAATAATTCTCCTACGGCTACGTGGCAATGCATTTTTTTTCTGGTTGGCTTGTTCCTTTTTTGTGGCTTCATCCAATCGGATGATAGCGTAAACCATAGATTATCGACTTCATTGCGCAAAACGTAGCATTTTTTACCATCCAGCAAAACTCTATGGTTCTGCAGACGCTTAAAAAGGGTGTGCGGGTGAGCGAGGTAAGCGTTTTTGGTGGAGGAAACGTGATAATGTCGGCCATATACACGACAACAAACGTTAAACCACCGAATGTGCTTGCTGCATACTCGGCATTCATCCGGAGCCGGTGAAATGCCTATCGGGGTTGTTAAATATCTCGACATTAATCAAACGATATACTAAAAAGCAATGAAAGTATGCCATTATATAGCGAGGCATCGGGCATAGTAGTAGTCAATTTCGTCAATAGTTGTGAAACGCATCAGGATTTAACGTATAAGTGACACGTAGTATGGACTCTGTCATAGACATTGGAGATCCTACAAATCAAGCTATCGGTCTAGGTAAAAAAGAAGCAGGCGAGTCCTATCTGATTCGTGAATTTGCTCCAGTACGTCGGCATCCACAAGCCACTAAATTCACTTTTTGCCTCCTCTCTTGATTTCGCGCGATCGGGTAGGACTGGCATAAATCGTTTTGTAATCTAGTTGTAGAGATAATTTGTAGTAAATAACGCGTATTTGACCAAGATGTCCATCGTAAGGCGCGTGGAAAGCAACGAGTAGCGCTGACTATTTCGTATTCACATCGGGGGCGAAGTGGCCGGAAGAAGTGTTTCAGGAGTGAATATCCTCGGGGTTGCTTCCTTACTCTTCATTACATTCGAAATTCTCTTTTCGATCACGGCTTGTTTTATCCTACCCTTCCCCATATTCAATCGCATTTAAAGTCGTCACGCTGCACCACCTCGTCCTCGAATTTAGAATGAGGCCGAGCGCGATCATAATGTCTCTTCTACAAATAAAGTCGTTACTGCTGGTTGTTATAGCCTCAAACTGGTGCGTTTCTATTATATCTAGCTCAACATTCAGATAAAATGTGTCCTGCCGTTCCGTTGCTTGTGATAGATCCGCGCATAGTGTCGAGTATAGTCGGTGATCGGTAGTACAAGGTCGTTCCAGCTTCACAATGGCTTCAAGCGTCGAATCCTCGATTATTCTCTTAGAGGCGACACATAAGCAGGGTGTCATTTCTTGCGACGATGGATATGGACCATGATACGCAGTGGTGCGCTCGTGGGTGTTTGTTACTTTCTCTCAAACCAAGAAAGTTTAGCTCTTGGTCTGGTCCTGGTGCGCCTGGATCTGAACCGCGTTCCGAGTCAGATATAGCTGTTGTTGAGTAGCGTGGGTACCTATAGTTTGCTATGCGATCTATTTTTTGGGCTGAACATTGGCGCTCTTGTTATCTTAAGCTTTCCGTTTTTCTATAGGGCATAGCATTTACGCGTATCATACGATGTAGTCTTTTACAATGATAACCAAGTGTCACTCTTGCAATGGTCTCCGGGGCCAGTTTCCTTTTCCCTTGCATTCTCTAAACGCATGTTCCTCCCTTTCTGGTGATTGCTGGTTTTATTGAGGTTCTTTTGGCGTATGTTGTCGTTCTCACTGCTGGTCTCTTTTTTTGCGGGTCCTTCGGCGCCTCTCGGCTTTTCACGCGCGTAGAGTAAAGTATTATTTTGCTAAGCTCGTCATAAACTGTGCCTGCTGCAGCCATTGTCTTTTTTCATAAATCCGCGCTTGAAGTATCGGCATAACTGGATATCTGGCATCTCTTCAGCGTCCTGCAGCAACTAAACCGGATATTTTCTTTAAGCGTGTATGAGAATTGGAGCACTGGTCTCATCCTGGCGCTTCTCTATCGTCCATTATTCGTTTTCCAGGTCTTTACTGTAATTGTGTGGTATAGAAAATGAGCCTTCCTCTGTAAAAGAAATACCACTCGAAGCACTTGCGCAAGTGAACGAAAGATCAAGCGATCAATTAAACTTCCGTCGCGGGATCCCCTTGAATAACCTTGGTCATTTTGTGTACATTCAGCTCGTCCGTATACTGTGTTTTGTGCAAGACTGCTTATAATTTTTCTTAGAGGATCAACGCGCGGGCTACCGACTAAAGATCTTTTAGCCTTGATCACTGAGGTCTCCACAACGAGGTCGAATGTTTTTCGTTATACAAGCATTACGTACGTGACGTAATCATCTTCGCTCCATCGTCCAATGCTGGAGAATGAGACTTCCCTAGATGATGTAGGTCAATTATACGTATATAAAAATTACACACCTGTGGTCTGCAGAAGGGTCCGCAATGCCTTGCTTTAGAGAGAATAGCGTTTTCTGGGCAAAGTGATAGTGTCTTTCATATGTATTAAGCCAGTGTGCCTCCGTCTGCTTTACCACTACTTGACAAACCCAAGTGTTAACACAACCGCCATGGACAAATCCAAAGGTAGATACAACCGTCACCAAATATCATACATCAGTGCTTTTATCGGCACACATGTAGATCTGATCCAGCAGGCGATTCACCGCTTTTATTACGCACGCTCTTTACTGTCTGGTAGCTCAAAACTCTGTGCAAGTCATCTAGTGATAGTCTGCTGAATGAATGTATGGACTTGTAAGAATAAGACCTTTAAAGAGAGCGGCATAATTGTCACTTGACAGCGAAATGCGCCCAGTCGTCTCCACTTTGATGCTGCGATCGCATGCTACGTAGCGAAATGCTTATAATAGTACACCCATCTCTCCCTATGCGAGACTATGTACAAGTGACACCCTCTATATAATAGTCGAAGTGTCGCCGAACATTGCAGAGTAAATAGGAACTCATATACCGTTTCCTGGACAAGCGAGTTCGATATCAGACACAAAAATCAATCGCACGTTTGAGTAATAATCCTCTTTATTTGACTCACTACCCGGACTTTTGCTACTTGAAAGAAACACGTGGCCTATAATGTGACAATTGTTTCTAGCCAAAGATTTGCCATAAACCGAAAGCCGATTCAGCAACGTCATAGGATCTCGGATGTGACCTAGGAGAAAGAAGTAAAGCTTGTCAAAATAGGCGAGCTTATAACGTACAGTTCACTTATGAAGTCATGACGACAAATACAGCATGCAAAATCTAATGATGTCGTAAGGCCATAAATAGGGAAACGTAATGTTCAACATTGTAACTACTCCACGACGCCACTGATCCAACACGTCCGCCCAGTTCATATTAACTCTTGTCGACAACAAGACCGCGAGTTCAACTAAGTTAGTAAGTATTTTCTCACTAAAGCAGAATTACAAAGTCTCTCATTGCTTCAAAGTACGCCCAAATAATGCTTTAACGAAGTGCAGTCGTATATGAGCATTTAGTTCTAGCACAGCATAAGTAATCAACGGCGCATCGTCTCATGGCCATGACAGAGATCTACTTTGAGAACTCAACCTTAACGTGAATAAAAAACGATGCGTGAGGCGTCATTGCCGTCGAGAAGAAGCTACTTACATTCATCCTTGAGCGCAAGAGTGATGGGCGTTCCGAATATCTTGTACAGAACGACTGTGAGCTAGCCACTATATCGAAGATTACGATCTTATGAATTATAGAGGCCGGCCATAGAGTTATAAGAAGCCGAACAACATCAAAAGGCGCGCGTTGATCGGCGAGAGAGGGAGCTTACGTACTGAGGAAGTACAGTAAGCAAAGTCTGGGGTCTCATCTTTGACTGAGTAATATTCTCTGAGTCATGTGTTTGACTGGATGACACCATTATTTAACGACTTGCCACCGAGCGCAATCCTCTACACGGTCTAAAACAATTGCAAGAAGAGTTTAAATTCACGCAGGTCAGTTGCTCTATGCTGCAACGCAAGTGGTTCTATAATTTGAACCCGTAATCATCGGAAAGTTAAAACCAGTGACCTTTAAGGGTGTAGAGATCAAGAAGCGTGGCATCGCATACGCTGCAAACAGAAACGACTTACTGACTGGAATAGTTTTTGATTAATTGGCTGCATCGATGAAATCTTCAAATGCATGTTCGCAAAGAACTGCTTTATTTCGACAACGATTCCAGTCGAGATGTCCGACGAGAACTCAACAATGTCACTGTGGTATTTCCCGTCTGACACGACTGTCACCATGTATCCGCTCGATGCAGTGATGCATAAATATCATGATTTGTACATGCGCACCTACCTACATGTATGGTAATAAAAATCATCTGATATTAAAAGCTTGCTACAAAAACTTTATTGCGATGGCGCATGGGTCTATTGAAAAAAACATGAAACGTAGACGTTATGTCCTAGAAGTCATTGAGCTTGCAGCTGAGATCTAGAAACGTACTGATGACGTATTTATTCAAAGTTTCTGGCTCACTTCAAACAAAAATGCTGCTATCTGACTGATATAATTAATGATCCAGGAGTAAGCGTTAGCGTCTAGGATTGTGTCACAATCGAGGGCCATGAGCAGATTGACGAAGAGCAATATGATACAATTGAATCAGAAGCGGATCACGCGGAAGTCAAAAGCGAGAAGGTCAGTGCCAGTCAGTGCAAAGAAAGCACTATAGTGCTGCCAGCTTTTGCGCTCGTACTTCTCACGCTCATATAGAGACACGTGTTTTTTCAGTCAGACCTAGGTACGATGTCAGCGTTTATCGCTAGAACTGGCACGCTAGAGCGTACCGGCTCGACAAAAGAAACTTCATATAGTAAACAAACAGTACATATCATTGCATATAGGAACATGTTCTGTAGCATTGCTTAAAAGTCCCAATATGCATTTTTCCGGTCGTAATAAAATCATGCAACTTCTTTCTTTAATTCCTCTATAAGTGACTTCTTCACATATTGTTCAAGCTAAAAAATTTCTTGTTGTACGTACAAAAAGATAGCTCGAAAGCTACATATGAGTTTATTTATGGATACAAAGTACAAGGGAGACACTCAGTACAAATTCTTTTATACCTACAAGTGGCAGCAAGAGAATCGTCTTACAAATATTTGAACCTTCAAATGTCGATAAAAGAATGCAGATACTGTTATTTGTACTTATAAATGTAGCAGGAAAACATGCGATCAACTATGATTGTACGTACAAGCTAGGGACTCAATTGTTCGTACAAACATTTGCACGTTACAAATAATATTTATACGTGAGACAAATTGTCCCCTTATCCTCTCCTGGCTCTCACACACCTTGATTCTGATCAAACAATGAGCGAGCTCACTACTCTCTTCCTGCTTGGGACCACGGAATCTCTTATTCCTCCTGACAAGCCGATCGTACCACAAAAGATATGGAGCCTATTCTGTGTAGCAGCTTTATACGTACGATCCCTCTCAGTTGTCATCGTAAATAATATGTTTTTTGTCACCAGCAGCTTCGTTTTGGTTAGTTATTGTTGTCCATTCTCTCACACTCTTCAAGTTCCAGTCTCATCGAATCTCCTCGAAAAGAACAGTATACACTTTGAAGCGACATCTCCAATCAACTACGGCGATGATAGACGGCAGTGTTTACCGTCATCTTTACGCCAGCAGAAGCAGCAGACATGGCGACGCCCGTGTTGCATTTGTGGTAAAAGGAAAATTCATCTTAAGAGCGGAAAACTCCAAATGAAAATGTTAGAAAACTATTGCATCATTCGTAATACCAGTAAGTGGTGTGAGGACTATAGCTCGCCGAACGACTGTAGAAGGCTCTGAAGAACCGCAGTGGTAGCCTCTTCATCGTTAGCATCATGAATATGTCACCTCGTCTTCAGCATAATTAAAAACATCACAGAGAAACAGACGGGGAAGGCAAGAGGATACTCCCTTCGCGATCAGAACTAGGTAATAGAGGTAAACACCAATCATGGGTGATCATCTCTGCTCTCATTACAACTCGAGTACTACGTGCGCACACTCTATTTATACAGGCACTTGCATTCATAATTGTACCTTCAAGTATTTGTCACCTACAGACAGTGCCATTGGAATCTTGTACAAATAAGCATGTAGATACAAATACCCTATTCTAAAACGTGATGCAATAATTTGTCCCTACAAGTATCGACTGAGCCTACCGGTCTAAATGCAGCAGTGCCTCCAAATATGTCGTACGAAGAGTTGTTCTGATTTACTTGTACGTACAAGGGCAGCGATCGTGCGCAAATACACTTGTACCTAGGAATAGTGCTAGCTACAAGTGTATTTATCTGAAACTAAAACTAAACCCTTGTATTTGTTAAAGGTGTATACTTTTTGAAAGACACGCTGGAAAATCGGGCACAAAGTTGTCTCTCATAGTGAGGGGCAAGTGTAGTAAGGAAATCGACTCGATTCATACCAAAATGACAATGTCGAATAGAGTTTCCTATACTACAGCTCGTTAAACGTTCCTTATGATTTGCTTCGCTCTTTTCGTCATAAGAGACACTTCTGCGAGCGTCACGTTTGACAGGTGCCATGACGTAAGGGTGCTCCAAACAGAAGCCCCCACAGTCTCCATAGCTCGAAATTGATTACATCCGCTGTCTCAACGTCACTCTTTCCATTTCAGTATGCGCTCCACTTTCCAATCTTTCCAAAAAAGCGTCATCGACACACGTCGCACGTGACATCAACATCATCATGACCCATAGCCACCATTGCATCCTCTCGCGGCCTTTCATTCATTCAGTCACTCACTCAATCAATCGCTCACTCCAGTCATTCTTGCTTTCATCCCGTCCATAGCGACGATGACATTGCATGCCTTTTCACTCCTAACTGAAGCTGCGACTCCACTTCGGTTCACGGTCCTAAACGAACAGCTCAGTCACCTCGCGGAGCTAGTAGGTATCCCTGTTGACCAGCTCCGCTGCGTCACGTGTCTCTTAGCTGTGTACCCATTTGCTGTCCTCGTGCAGAAACTGCCGTCGATAACTGCAAAGCACTGGCTGCACATTTGCGGTGGCGTGAGCATTGCACAGTTCGTCTATGGTACAGGATGGCTCCACTCGCTCTTCTCGTCTCTGCTCACGTACGCCCTCGTGTGCTTCCTGCCCCCCGCACGCGCCTCCGTAGTAGTGTTCCTTACCAATATGGTGTACGTAGCAGCCCTGCACATTCACCGCATGCGGGTGAACTACATGGGCTGGAATATGGACGCGACAGCGAGTCAGATGCTGTTGCTTATCAAGTTGACGGGCTTTGTATTCAACTATCACGACGGGGTGGTCCCGAGTGCCACAACGGCGGAGAAAGGAGACTCGGACCATACGAAGCGCGTCAAGCAGGTGCGCAAACAGTTTGCTATCCCCCAGATCCCGTCACTGCTGGAGTTCCTGGGCTTCGTCTACTGCTTCACCACGTTCGTCGCAGGTCCAGCGTTCGAGTACAAAGAATACCGTGACGCGATTCATCAGACTCGGTTCGTCGACAACAACGGCGTGCGACGGAATGTGTCGCCTGCCCGAGCTGCAGTGTCCAAGCTGTTGCTTGGACTTGGACTCATGGGACTCCTTGTGCAGTTTGGAGCTCTTGCCGACTTGAAGGAGATTCTGAGCGATGACCACCAGTCCATGGTGACGAAATGGGCTCGGCTCTTCGTTGCGCTGTTTCTTACGCGGGCGAAGTACTACGTAGCTTGGAAATTGGCAGAAGGTGCCACAGTGCTCACAGGCGCTGGATTTCAAGGCTTTGACGAGCAGAACCACCCCAGGGGATGGGATGCAGTCAGCAATGTTGACATTATGGGTTTCGAGCTCGGGGCGAACGTTCGAGAGATCTCACGCGCTTGGAATAAGGGCACGCAGAACTGGTTGGAACGCTATGTGTATACCCGTACGGGCAACTCGTTGCTAACCACGTATCTCGTCTCGGCGCTGTGGCACGGATTCTACCCGGGATACTATCTCTTCTTCCTTACTTTGCCACTGGCAACGTCTGTGAACCGGTTAGCTCGACGCCACGTTCGCCCTTACGTTGTTGATTGTGCTATCAAGCCCCTCTACGATCTCGTGGGCATGATCTGCACCGCAATGGTGGTAAATTATTTGGCGGTATCTTTCGTGGTGCTATCGTGGGAAGAAGCTGTTGCAGGCTTCCGCTCTATGCGTTTCGCTGGTCACGTTGGCCTAGTGGTTTGCTACTTACTCTTGACTTTCGTCCCTGTCAAGAAGTCTGCGAACTGCAACAAGACTTTGTAAACGGCGAGAGAGAGAGAGAGAGAGAGCGTGCAGTCACTGACGATCTCTCTGCTATTTTTCAGCACTATTGCAAGCCAAGAACGCAGTGTGACGTGACCAAAACGCAAGTTTCGTAACGCGGGACTTGCATCTGAGGTACACTATTAGTGTCGTGCTATTATCTATCGACTGGTCACCTCATCTACAGCGAGGATGGGAATGGAGAATGATGCGAAGCTCACGGTGTGTCGATCGCGTACTAGTTGTCCGTAACGCAAATATCATTGTTCCAGTGACGATAGAGGTCAAGTGCCTTAATCGAGCATATCTGAGGTCGTCCTGGTGCCGTCGCTTTCCAAAATCTTGACGGTTGTTACATGCGCAGCTGTGCTGCAGCAATCGAAATTTCGCGACCGAATACATCGTTTGTGCGTTGTCGTGCTGGATCACAGTCATAGCTAGGTCGTGTATAGGGTCACATCCGGGCTCGAAAGCCGACGTCGATCAATTCTGATGGCGGGCTCACAGACATGGCCCGTCACGACTGCACGCATCTTCTTCGCCCGCATCGTGCGATTGATGTTGCGAGTTTCCAACACAGGCGGTCAGTCACTTTGTCATTGTGTCAATAGCAGACGAAGGTTCCCAATCGACACCAGTTGAACTTGTCATCATGAATGAGCAGGTGCAATGGGCCTCGACACCGGTACAGATCTGCGTCACGGCTTGGTTGTATCCGGTCCGCACATTGTAATTGCATCCTGTGTGCTGCCAAAGAGAGGATGAAAATACCCTCTCGAGAAGTAGTGACCTCAATCCTGAAAAATCTCGGCGTCTTGCTAAGAGCTCTCGGTACGGATGATAGTTTCTGAATCTGGACCTGTTTCATAGCGGATGTGGCAGCTACAGACGGTGTCTTTGCCGTCGCACGCTTGGCCATCACGATGATAGAGTAAGACTGTCACAATAATCTTTGGCACGACACGAGTTTTTGAGTACATGCAACAAAGTATGAAACGAGAGGACGCCGACACGCTCTTGTCAGAGTAGTCGCTTCGACTGTTTAAAGCTCAAACATGCGCAGCATGTCCGTGCTCGAAGTAACATTCATTCGTGTTGAAGCAACAGAAAAGCTCGTTTCAGCGGAGCGTGGCTGCCTAGCGCTAAGATGTGCAGGTACAAAAGCGTATCTACCTACCAACGCATCCTTTCGTGGTACCATATCTCATCACGCTATTACATAGACTAGCCACCACTCCTACAAAATCGAGTCAGAAGCCGAATGATACTTGGTTCCACTGGATCGCCACGATCCGAGCACACTACAGAACAGTCACAATAAGTCACATTACAGAACAGTCACAATAAAACCTTCAATCGATCACCTTATTACATGCTGTAAAGCTGTGCTTTGCCCTAACTTTTTGTCAATTCCGGTAAAGCTAGATGTCTGATGCCCGCACCACGCCTTACTAACGATATTGACTCGAGGTAGCAAAAGGTAAAAACCGCTGACGTCTCATGGTTATGGTTGTTACTGCACTTACTCCATCAAATCTGTTGGCACAATGGCGACCTAGTAGACTGAATCAATGTCTCTATCTCGCACCTTGGACTGTTACTTTGATCTGCCGCTCTACATGCTCGAACGCACTTTACACAAAGCCACCGATGCTCTGCACTCGACTGAGCCGGTCTTTCCGTCGAGCATTCTGTTCCTGCTGGTACTTCTCCACTTCACATGGACCACTCCTCGTCGGGTCGCGTTGTTTCATTCTACGCTTCTCTCGCTGTCGAGTCTTTGTCTCTCCTTCTTCCGACTCACTTGATGATCCCTTCTCAATCACGCGCTGAGATCGAGACCCAGGATTGTCACGCCGATTCCAGCCTTGCTCATGAGTTTGCCGTCGTAAACGAAGCATCTGCTCGCGTCCAGCCGTGCCGTTGTCAATCATCTCCTGTAACATCGACTCTTCGTCGTTTGAAAACGTGTGTTTTGCTTTCATATAGCCACTGCCACCGCCCACCTCTTCGTACTCGTACTCCGTGTCCGAGTCCTCCGAGTCAGATGTATGATCAGCAGCGCTGCTGTGCCCTGTGTCAAGACTGACAAGACTACTACTACTATTCATGGCCTGGAACGAGTCCCACTTCAGCTGCACGTACTTGTCCAGCGCCGGAGGAAAACCCCACTCACTTTGTTCGTGAGGTGCACGGATGTGGAACATCTCATTAAAGTTGTTTGGCAAGTCGGAGAACGTTATTTCCATCTCTTCGAGAAATCGCTGGCTGTCAATAACCAGCCGGTACTGCGCGTCGACGCTATAACAACCTGGCGCTTTCATCACCGCTTTGTTGATAAACCGGTCCACGTAGCGCAAAATCATAATAGCGCTGTACTCGGACAAGTACTTTTCCAATTCTCGCTGTGCATGGATTGAAATAGCTTGAGCATTCAAAGCTGAGCTAACACGCGACATGCGTTCTGAATCCGTCATCTGGATGCTCTTTGTAGACAACGCTTTTCTCTTGGTACGTGACGAGCTCATTATCTCCTTGCTGTGCACAACAAAGCTCATGTCCTTGCTCCGAGATTCCTGAAACGAATTAAATACGTCGCCACCTCGTCGCGAGCACTTGTTCGTATTGCATAGGAACGACGAGGACGAGCCCTTACATCTCCCTCCATCTACAAATGTTGCACCAGACGCTGACAATGGCATGGACGAAGACGCAGTAGTCGTCCTCTCTGTTTCCGGCTCCGGTTCGTCGTGCACCGATGACCCTGCAGAGCTAGGTATCGATGCAGCTGCGTGCGCCGCGTAATGTTTCCATCCACCCCCTACATTGCCATCAGAAGCCGGGTACTGCTGTTGCTTCCAGGACTCCCTCGCCACCGCCGAAGCACAGGATGGTTTCTGCAATCCCTGTCCACACAGTAGCGTGTTGACGTCAGCTCGCGACCGCTCGGACGCCGCCACTACATCCTTCTTCGTTGCCGACTTCCGACACGTCGTGCTACGTATACCGCGCTCACTTTTAAACGAAGCGTCCAACCTGTCCAGTGCACGATTTCCAGGCACATTTTTGAGTTCCATATCCGTATGCGATTCCTCACACAGCTCTTCCACCTGAGGCCTTTGCTGCTGTCCATTGGACATGGACACGCGACTAGTGCTCGTCTTGGTTGAATTCGTCGAGCTCCGCATGGCCAAGATCTTGCTCTCTCGAATCAATCGACTTGTCTGGATCGTCCCCCTGCCGTCATCTCCCTCTCTTCTTCTCAAGCCTCGACTCAGTCGCCCCATCGCGTTCAATTGCCCGTCTCTCGACTGCGACAATCCTCCATGGTCCATCTCAATCGTCACGGGCTTTAAAAAGTCCCGCAGCAAGTGAAACACGGTAATGCTGGCTTGAGTCCGGTCCTGCAGCGCGGCAACTGCAACTTGTTGGTCAGCAGGCAGCGCCTGCACGTACTGCTCGCAGCGCTCTTTCTGCGCCTTCCGGTACGTGTGTGTAATAAAGAGCAGCTTCATGAGAAACCGGTGGAGCTCCACGGCGCGTTCTTTGACGACGTGGTCCTTTTTGCTGCCAAATAGGCGCTTCGAGGGGAACGCGACGTCCTGGAGCTCCCGCGCGAACGTCCGCGAGCTGTCGTCGTCCAGCTCCTGCGTCCGCGCGTCCTCTTTCATGACGCGCTGGACGTCGTCGCGCAACTTGCGAAAGTCCGAGTACGTGCGACGCACTTGCCACTCGTCCACGTCTTGCTGGACGTTCACGACGTAGAGCACTTGGCTGCTGCCGGTGAACTCGACGTGGCCAATGGCGACGGCGAGTCGACTCATGATCACACGCGTAGCAGAGGCGAACGGCTACGAGGCGGGAAGAGAGAGCGGGGAGGCAAGTAAGTGGTAGGTGGGTGGGTGGGGCTATTGTTATTGTGGCGAGTCTTATTGTGGCGCGGTCGTTCTTAACGTGGTTGCTATTGTTTACGGACAGACGGGGACGGCGTTGATAAAGTCGTGCAAAAACGACGCGAGCGATTCGGAGGCAGGCAAAAAAACGAGTCAGACGTATTAGATTTCACAGGATGATGGAAAAAGAGCCAGACACGGCGTGACCACTGGGGCGATGGTAGCCAGCTCCTGCAGTGATACCTCTGGTGCCGCTGACTTGGAATCATGGGGGTTGACTTTTGCGGGAGAAACGCTATGGTAACGGGAATAGAGTACGAAAGAAGACGGACCATCCGACACCGCGACGTTGTCAACTGCAATTGAAGATGAAGATAACGACGCGGACAACTACAACAACAACAACGACGACGAGTGGAATCGGATCGTATGAGCTCAGGCGTGCAGAGTTGGCTGCAAAGTGCAGACCGACGGGGCAACCGAGCGAACGGCAGGAGGAAAGACAGACGACGGCAGGCTGTCGTATTGTATCGCGTGTGTATGTGTGTGTGTTTTCTTTTTCCTGTGATAGAGAGAGGGATCGAGAGGTTGAACGATGGAGAGTGGGAGCAAGCAAAAGCCCTTTGCCACGACGAATCGTGGGTAGACGACAAGCGCTTCGTTTCTTACGATGCCATGGACCATACTTGAAGGATACAGACGCACTTGGCTCTGTGGCCTGCGTTTGTGTATCCATATGCCACGCTTCACTCGCGATACAAAAGTCCACAGAAAAAAGTAACGCAAACTCGTCGTGAGTCGCTTGCAGACGCCCGTCTGACGTAACCCCTCTCTTTGTCGCATAAAAATGTACATTGACCGCAAAAGCAGTTGCCACGACCTGCCCTTTCTGTCGGCTCCTTCATCCCTCTAATACTCTATACGGTGCCACGCATCAGATTGCGACTCAGGACCTCGTCGTCTGAGAATCCTAGACTCAGCCCAATCAGAGGTGGCCAGCAGCACAAACACATGACGAGCGCTCGAGCGCATCCCGACGTGGCACTGCCTTTGATCATGCACCACGTGGCTTCCGACGTGTCGGCGTCCACGCGCGTATTGGTCGTTGGCGACGTCCACGGCTGCTTCGATGAGCTGCAATTGCTGCTCCAAGCGTGTCATTTCTCGCCACTCCGCGACCGTCTAGTGTTCGTAGGGGACCTCGTTAATAAAGGCCCCAAGTCGCTCGACGTTGTGCGTTTCGTACAAAGCTCTGGATCGCTCTGTGTACGTGGCAATCACGAAGATGCAGCTCTGAGTGCGTACTACAAATGGGTACGTGCTGGCTGCAGTCCGAGAACAGCCAAGTACTCGTATGTGGAGCATCTGGAAGCACGTGATGTGGCGTTTCTAGAGCAATTGCCGTTCTCGTTGTCATTGCCAAATCATGGGAATGTTGTCGTCGTTCATGCTGGAGTAGTACCCGAGGTAGAGCTGAAGGACCAACGACCGGTGGACATGTACAAGATGCGCGGTGTGCAACGGGTACAAGCAGCTGATGGGGGTGGGAAAACGTGGGTTGCACTGGAAAAAGAGAAATTCAAAAGTGAAGATGGAAGAGAAGTAGAGAGGTGGGCCAAGGTCTGGAACGGACCTAGACACGTTTACTTTGGACATGCAGCGGCTGTTGGACTTCAGGTGGGGGAACTTGTTGGTGGTGCGGGGTGAAAGAAGAGGTTGTGATAGTGCTGACGCTGGATTTGTTGTAGCAAGAGAGATTTGCGACAGGCTTGGATACAGGATGCTGCTATGGACGACAGCTTACAGCGTGTATACTTCCGGTGCGAAAGTAGCTGAGAAGCGCTGTTTGTTACTGATTATGGTGTCGACTAAAGTTTTGTTGCAATGGGGTGGTTGTGGTTGCAGACGAACGAGTTGGTGCAGGTGGATGCACTGAAGCAGTACGAAGTGGTGAGTGGTGACAAGAAATAACACAAGAAGGTGTGGAAGAATTGATGTACTCCGGCAAGCCGAAGCTTGTTTATTTGGTCGATGAGGTCTTCTAGCCAGGTCGCCTTTTTGTGGGATCGGTCGCTGGGAAGGCGCCTTTTCAGCGATCAGAGCACATTGATTGGACGCAGACGTAGGACCTTTAGTGAAAGCTAGGGCTCAGCATCAAGTGTGCAATCAGCAAACATCATCGCTGTTGTTGTACAAGGAAGCAGCTTTAGCTTATTTTTCTACAATGTCATGATAATGTAGGTGTTCTCAATAGTTTATTAAAATTGCTTTTTTTTTACTTGTTGTGCGGAACCGAAGGTGTTCATGTGACATGTCGACACGAGACAACGCCTCAAAGCAGAGTCTTCTCTAGGTTCTTGTTGCCAGTCAGCAGTCAGCAGAGTTTGTCGGTCTGTAAATTGAAGTTGCAGCTCGAATGAAGCTAACGTCCATCTTTATAGATGCTGTGTAACGATTTCGAGTGATATGGTAACAGTTGCATCGTTCCCTGTAGGAAGTGCATTGCGTTCACAATCGCTCGTAGACGAAATGGCCACACCGATGAAAGAAAGCGTGAGTTACTGTACTTTGAAGTGCATATTGGTGATACATCGCCCTTCACTAATACAACTCCTTACAAGGCGCAAAAAAGCAATAAAAGGCTGAACGTCGACAGTGCTAACGCTGTGGTGTGTACACCGTACCATGGACCGAATGAGGTTGGCAACTGGAGTAAGCACCAGGCATTATTAAGGCTAGGACTTCGCATTAGAACGACTCAATCCCAACTACTTGGTTTCTGGTTTACCAACTAACAGTGGACAAAATGAAAGGTTTGAATAGCCGAGTTGACTCATTTCAAGAAATTCCGAATGGCGAGTATTTATCAGCGATCTCCGATGGTGTCATACTGAAATGCTGTATTTGTACAAGGGCGCTCCAACGTCAGTCGTGGCTATTTGTCAACGCTGCAAGTTCCATTGTGCTTACAAAAGAAGGGAGTGATATGTCTGCAGAGTATGGAGGGCGTGACGCAAGTCAATGTGGGACATGGTATTTAATTTTTTAGTTTACCCGTACTCTATGCTGGAGCTTGTGTCATGAAGCTCGCACATGAATACAACCCGTGGGCTACGTTCTCTGACGAAGTAAGCGCCTGTGTATTCAACGAGAAAGCGCGTTACTCAATCAGCGAGGATTATTGCATGGCTAGGCGAAGAAGTTGGGTGGAAATGACTAATGGCTCCACGCCATAGTTTAGTAGCCCCGTATCGATTGCAATTCCAGCATGACACCTGAAAATGAATCACCAACACCTTTGAACAGCCAAACACCAAAGATTGAGGCGCTTGCACTCTTTGAGAGTAGTGGGTATACGTTTCGGTCCGTCCAAGACTAGGGTGCTTGTTAGCGCAATACAATGCATGACCGTACTCACGCAGTATCGCGCAGAAAGAAGGTGCACGAGATATTTCTAACAAAAGCGATCATGTATAGACGATATTCAAGGATGAGATGAGGACTCGTAGGCTATCGTGATGTACGTCTCTGGTCAGAACAGAGAATTTTCAATACCGTACAATCCAATTGTGATCAACGATTAAGTGTTCTTAGCAGTCCATAATCAGAGCGCTGCCTGGTAAACTTTTTCTGCCGCGCCTACATTCTGTGGTCGAAACCATTTCATTAAGAGTACTACTCCCCGCAAAACCCGTGGATATACTAGTAACTTGAACACTAGTCTGTCAAACCCTTCTGCGCAAGTACTCAATCGTGTTTGATCGCATATCCAGCGTAAGAATACATATTTTGCATATATTTATTGATCCACTTGCCATTCACAATTGCCAATGCTGCCTGCAGGTGCAGTCAAAAAACAAACCAAAGTGATGCAGCTAATGTGGGCTGTGGGGTACAGTTAATTGGGTAATTGAAAACGTGACAGCACGTAGGGCCATCGTGTTTGCCACTCGAGTGGTAGCTGGCACAACGGTCTGTCTTCGAGCTAGATAGCACGAGCAAACATCCACAAATGTACCATTATCAACTCAGAAGAATCCTAGAACTTTAAGTCGCAACTTGCTCGACAGCTTCCAACATCGACTGCCAACACGAAGAGCCGGCAGTGTCCCAGCCCTTCTTTTCTCCCCTCCTGCTTTCATGGCTGGCCCCGCGTAGATATTTGCATCAGTATGCTGGATCTGCAACAAACACCTGGCTTGGCTTCTCTTCACGTGACAGACACCAGCAACTCGCACGATCGGACAGATAGCCTTCTTTCCCACATCATCGATCGCTATTGCAAGTGCATAGTAATCATCACCATGAACTCTCCTCGAAAACGTCATTTCCAGCAATCTGTTAACATCCCTGTCCACCGCGCTCAACTTCCTTGTAACTTTCCATAATTCGTAGCGTCGACCCTACGCCAACCACTGGTGTCACGCCGTATCCGTACCCGGCAAACAGACGCCTGGACGGCAGCACTTCACAATTCACAACCGAGAAGTTTTTCGCCAACCACATCCAGCTCGCGAGTGACTACCCCATCATCCGATACACATTTCGGATCCCAACAGATCCGTTTGTCTTGCTCAACCTGGACAACTTGCACGGAACAAACAAGATAAAAGCACGTCAACGCCCGAGGCCGAAGCCGACATCGTGTAAGAAACAACGTTGCATTAAGTCTCGCTCGTGTCGCTAACCTGGGCTTATTGATCCAGCGCGCGCGTCGGACGCCCTGTACACAAGGTCCTGCCTTGCCAACAGCTTTTATCGCACCCTCGCGTCCTGCCTTCTTCCTGTAATACACTACAACCTGGCCGTCTCTCTTCTTCCACCTCTTCCTTCCTCTCTTTCTCCGTCTTCGCCTTCGTACGCCCTTGCACCGGCACCACCACCAACAGCTACTACAGCCAGTGCTAATACGAGTCCATCGAGATCGTCGACGCGCGAGACGACGCGGGCATGAACATACTGTCGCGCATACTGGGCGTGAGCGTCGAGATACTCTCCCGAGAGGAGCCGACGCTAAACGAGCGATCGACGCGCTTGCTCTTGCGCTTGTACACGCACGTGTCCTTGTCTATCCGAATGCCCCACTGAAACTCATCGGCTTTCGTCACAACCACGAGAAATTCGTTCAATTTAGCGATTCGGTCGATTATCAATTGGTCCGAGAAAAAACCCGTGAGACTTTGGGTCTGGAGCTCGGGAATATCGTGCTCGCTGCTTGGGTTTTTCGCCTTCAGTGTCGCGGCCAAGTTCCTGCAGACAGAAAACATTGGGGCACTTGTTAGCCTTGTACGGAAGGTTGCACCCAAAAAAATCACCCAAACCACCCGGGCGAAAAAACCCCAGCGGCTACAGAAATTATCACATTAAAGAGTATATCAAGACTCACAGGAACGTGCTGTATCGATGCCAAAGCACCAATGTGCCCCGAATGTCCGTCTCGATCTGGAGTTTGTACTCGACATACTGCCGGCCCTGTTTCGTCTTGATGCGGCTGTAGAATACACCGTCGCATTGCAAAGGAGACACTGTCAGCCGTAAACACGACTACACGCTTGCCCAGCCACGGACTGTCCCAATTAATAATCACACACACACACGGACCTGTCCACCACTTTGGCCGAGAGCAGCGAGATCTCTCTCATTTGATCAATCTTCGTCTGGTACGAATCCAACGTCTGACGCAGCTGCACGTGCTCGCGACGCAAGTCGACGCTAGCATTCTGTAGTGCCATATTAAGTATGGAAGTCCGCAGCTTCTCGTTCTCCTCCTCGAGTCGGCGCTTCGCAGACGTGGCTTCGAGCAACTGGGCTTCGTACAGACGAGCGGCCTCTTCTGCCCGAGCCACTTTCTCGGCAGCGTCCGATAGGACGCGCTCAGTGCGCTTGGTTAGCGTGCCCATGTCGTCCGCGAGCTGCTATAAAAGATTAGAGGTCCGTCTGCCACACGAGCGGGGGATAAAGTGTGAGGTCCCGCCTACTTAATCGATGACTCACGAATATCACAGCGGCGTTTTACCTTAAAGCGACAAGGAGAGGGGCGAGCAAAGGGAAACGTGTGTATAAAGCGACAGGGGAGCTTCTGGCGTTTTCAGCTGGCACTTCGAAATGCGGAAAGGGAGAGACCGACGCCGTTGCCGCGTGAGAAAACTGGTTTCTGTCTCGTTTCTCAGTTAGGCGATTATTGTTCGGAGAAACAACTCGGCGACCGCTTGTACGTTCAGTTTCGCGCGTCTAGACGCCACGCTATTGGTCGAGAAGGATTCACTGTCTATGAAACGACGCAAAAAAGGACCATCATTTGACAAAATGGCAGTCAGTTGCTCTAAAAGGACGCAAGAGCGCTAATTCCTACGGGCGGCAGAGCCCACGAGTCTCAAAAGCCGCTCAAAAGACTACAAAATACGCAAAAATAGATAAAGTTCATTTGACAGGATAAGGGGAGCGATCGCACTTACTGCTACTCGCGTACCGTCGTAGCTGTTCTGCAATCCGGCCTTTTCTTGCTCGTTTAGACGATTTGGGCTTTGTCGAAGAAATAGCATCTGCGCGACGTCGTTGCGTTGTTGTCACTAAAAGTGGGAGTACAGACGCCAGTATAGTGTTAGTACGTAGTCCGCTCGTCCTCTTCTTTTGCATCGCAAGTAGACCGTTGTTTCCAGTTAGCACCATTGCTTTAACTAGCGGCCCGATGAAGAAACGCTAGGGGAGGCTGACATACTCAGCCCGTGCTGTTCCGTCTTGTGGCATGGCTTGCAGGATGGAATAGAGCGTGATCGACGCGAACGGATTTTGTGGTGCACGCCATTGACGCGGTCTAGGAAAACAGACGGGGATCCTAATCACATGATATGAAATGGTAGACCTCGTTCGTACTGTAGTGACCTAAGTGCCAGTCGCGTGCGTTGGCTCACCATGTACCGCTCATTGCGAGCAGCATCTTCTTATGATCATTCATGTTTGTTTCCCCTCCAGTAACCTTCGCAGTTTGCGGGGGGGGTCATCTCCTTACGTGAAACATGTATGGATGAGCATTCGGCATCTTTAGTAACAATCTAGTGCTTAAACTTTCCGGCTTGACGAGACATCACGGACGCACTATTATTTACTTAACTATATTATCTCGGTCATACAAACTGACTGACTGAGTATAGTAAATGAGAATTAGAATAAAATCCGCACCTCAAGCGTGTCAGACTATCAGCAAACAGCATGCCATCGTCTAAACTGATTAAATGTGATTAGTAGTTGTTTTATTTTTCATATATTTTGTAATTAAGAGCCTACTTATGGTATGTAAGGATAAATGGCTGTAAAAGAATATAATCAGCGTGCCATCTTCTTATAGTAGAGGGAAATTGACAGGTTGCACATCGTACGTAGCTTTCGTAAAGGAACACGACATTTTACAACTGCGTAGTGGAGTGCTATTGTCCAGATAGAATATTACGTCACATTTGTCATTGTCACATATCCGAACTTGCGTGCGAAGATTCTCCCGACAATATACGGATATTGTTGCATCGATCTGTAAAGTCGTATACCACGTCGATGATACGCGAAGGGGATGCATTAGTAGTAATGACCGTGTTCAATTTATCGTAAAACTAAAAGCTTCATTCAAATCAGACTTGAACAACGAATTTTCACTTTATCCCGATCAAAGGGCAATTGATTGATATTAGCACCAGCCGAAAATAAAAATCAATGAATAGAATATGGTGCGCTTGTGCTTCATGTACAACTACAAAGCAAATATGCGACGCGCTACCATAAGCACACAATTCCAATCGCGCTAAATGAAGAACCTATCCATGAAAACTTATGCAGAACTACAGTATGTGCAATCGACGAGGCTTTCTATCTCAAAAGTTGCAATTGTTGTGTTTCTAGCACTGTTGATCAGTTCAAACGAAATAATTTAAATGCAATTGTGTAGTCCAAACGAAATTTTGCTACCACTTACAAAAGTGTTACACGATTACAGCAAGTGCTACCCATGCACCTCTACCTTACTAACGCAATCTTCGCAAGAAAGTGTTTGCGGATGTAGCAGTGGTACAATTCTGCAATAGTGTAACGTAAAAAAGCATAGAGAAAAACTGTGCAGCATCCTGAAGTTCCATGTGATCACATTGTTCAGGCCACGTATGAATCGACCGAGTGGTGGTATTCATCGTTTTTACAACTTTCGCTTTGTGGCCTTTTAACTTGAAGCGCGTGACTTGCAACACCCGGTTTCTCGATAGCCTTGATTGCTGCTACTATATCGATGTCTTTTTTTGTCCCACAAGCCGATGAATTATTGAATACAGTGCAACGTTTTATCAGCTCATTCACGCTTCGTGCACGATTTTGCTGTGCTGTTTAGATTAATCGTGCAAATAATGACATGAAGCATGACCTCATTTTAAACAGATCACATAGTTTTCATTAAATAGGAATCTGAGACCTTAAGGCTGAACTTCTACTTAAATTTAGAAAATTGATATTTCTACAACACTTTTATCTATTACCACGAAACTTTTTCTAGTTCCATCACGCCACAACTTTTGTTTGAATAGTTATCGTAGCACCATACCACACTAACATACCGTCACATCACCCTCACCCCCATGTTCAACGAAGATCTCCAAATAGCGCACTCTCGAATTGCAAAAAAACGCCAGTGACGGTTTCAAAAAGATCGGTTGATGCAATGTCCTACGATTTCTCAGAGTCGTGCGCGACTTGCCGTTCGATCTGTTGAGCAAAAAAAATACAATTTTCTGCCTAAAAGTGCCCTTAGTTCTTTCTGTCAATGTTGTGTGCGTTTAATACGTTCTGGAAGTAGATTAATGTAATTTAACCACGTGGATTTGCTGACTTCTGCAACTTTGTTTTACAACATAGCAAGAGATTTTGATCGTCCTCTCGCTCAGGGAAAATCAGCTGGAAGAACGCAAACTTTGCAAAGCTTCAATCTCCTGCGTAATCTGGACCGTCAGCCTTGTTTTAAATAAGATTCTTAACACCGCCGTTTTTTGCGGCGTCATATCTTTAGCAATGTTTACAGGTCGCTCTTGTCGCGTCAGTGTTTTCCTTGTACTCGTATATAAGTCAGTGATTATCTCCACCTTAAGTTTCTCAAATACCAACCACACCAAAAAACACACATACATTATCTTGTCTCACTCTTCATCCTTGTACTGGTCGTCGCTCGTTTCTCGTGTGGTGGGCGCTGGCGAGTACGCAATGGTCTCAGCTTGTCATCGAGTTTTTGAGCGGATAACACAGCGATGGGTGGTGTTCACTTAGGCAAATTTTTATCGAAAATGACATGAAAAGGTGCGATTTATCGACTTTAGACTCGAAGGTGGATATCGAAAGGGTAGGAATTAGCCAGGGACAGACTAGCATGTGCTTAAAAGTTAACAAATTAGCTGCTTTCTTCGACTTTGTCACACACTTTATATCAATGTTATATCCGGGAAAGTCTCCTACTATCCGTTTGCAAGACTGTGTGGTGATGCAGTAGTGTGGTATGGTGCGCAGAAAAATGTTCGAAAAAAATCTACGATGTGGTGGAAATAGTAAAAAGTGTGGTGAAATGGATAATTCCCTACATTTATTGAATACAATACAGATAATGAAATAAACTGGTTGTGAAGCGCTCGAACACCACTCTCTCTGTTGAGCTTAAATCTGATGAAAGTAGCAGAACGTCAACTTTAGTGGAAGGCGATCACATCTGGATCTGTGTAAGTAGCCAGCCACGTCCACGTCACGGTAGACTTTTCGACACATGTGTCCAGCTTAACCTTGAGAAAGCGCAACATGTCCATGAAGCCTGCTGCATCAACCGTGAGAATATAGACGTTGGAGCACTGGTTGCGGCTACCGCTGTTAGACCTGCCATGCATGATTTGATATTTCAAGATTCGTATAGACTTCTTGTAATAGAATTGCGTGACAGTTGTGATGCCAAACTTGACTCGATATGTTGGCGGATGTGTCCACTGAGGACCATAAGGTAGCTTATTGGAAATATCGCACCCTATTGATTATAAACGACAGGTTAATGCAAAGTACGACGTTACGACTGACTATGTGCGTCGCTCATGAAATAGTCATCATAATAAGGATACAGTTGCAGCTTAATTAACCGTAGTTTAGCGTACTCAGGACAGGGATTGCTGCCGTATATAAATAGTGAAAATAAACTTTCGTTCACGTTTCGGGCAGAATTTTGCCATTTTACAGACTTGTAAGTCTTGAGCACATCGTGCTATTGGTTACTTCGATCTGTAGAGCTTTCTTAAAATTTTAAGTTGTACTAAATTACTTTGAATGGGCGGACAAGTTAGTCGTCATATCTATTTCTGTAGAACTTAGCGTCGTTTAGCTACGCTACAATTCTATAACTTGTAGTCAATACTTCACCTAATTATTTCTATACATTTACTCTCCGCAATGATGAAAAAACCCACTAATCAATCTAAGGCCCGATATTTGAAACTAAAGATGCAAATGCTTTGATTATAGCTGAGAAAGTAGGTCTCCTTGTCGATCAATGTCCGCAAGGTCTCAACGCTTGTATTGACGCCTTTAATAAGTTTAGACCAAGATAGTAGAATAGGTCCACGAAAACGTGGCGATATACATGCCACACTTCTTGTTCACATAGATGAAAACAAGCATCAAAAGTCTCATCTGATCGTCCTGGGATTCTTTACGTATGAGCTAAAGAAAGAGTAATTTAGTTTATGAGTCCGGGAGGTATGACTTACAATGATTCCTCATAGCACAGGTAAGAGCACCAAAGGTTGGTGTGGTCATTCCCAAGCTTGGATGTAGGTTCAGCGATTTTTAGTGGCATGCAATTTGTCTGCAGATACCGCCACGCGAAATGCTTAAGCTGCAA